GTACTCCAACGGTATCAAGGCGGTCGATCCCTTCGACAATGTCAAGGATATTGACATCCGCACCATCCTATACAACTCGTCCGGTTCTTCGCCCGCGCTCTTTGTTGGTACCACCGCCTTCGAGTTGATCGTCAAGCAGCAGATCAAGAGACTCGAAGACCCCAGCTTGAAGTGTATCTCGCTGGTCTACGACGAACTTGTCCGTATCCTGGGCCAACTATTGAACAAGCAGCTGTTCCGCCGCTATCCTATGCTGAAGGAGAAGTTCCATGCCGTTGTCGTCGGTTTCTTCAAGAAGTGTATGGATCCGACGAACAAGATTGTGCACGACTTGATCTCCATGGAGGCCTGCTACGTCAACACTGGTCACCCCGATTTCCTCAACGGCCAACGTGTAAGTACTAGAATTGCCCAAGTCGAAGCTAGATGCTGACCGAACAGGCTATGTCTATCGTCAACGAGCGCCAGCAAGCCAGCAAGCCCACCCAGGTTGACCCGAAGACCGGCAAGCCGCTTCCTCCCCGCGCCAACAGCCCGTCGGTGGACCTTACCCAGGACACCAGCAGCGGCTCCGGCTTCTTCGGCAGTTTCTGGGCGTCGAAGAACAAGAAGAAGATGGCCGCTATGGAGCCCCCGCCCCCTATCCTGAAGGCGTCTGCCGCGCTGTCCGAGCGTGAGAGCACCGAGGTTGAGGTGATCAGTATGTGCCCAGTTTAAGCTTTCGAGTTTCGCAGTTACTAACGGAGCGCAGAGCTGCTTATTACTTCTTACTTCAACATCGTCAAGCGGACTATGATTGATATGGTCCCTAAGGCTATCATGTACACCCTTGTGCAGTAAGTTCCCAACATTGATTTTGTCGCCACCAAGATGCTAACACAGCCCTTAGGTTCTCCAAGGATGAAATGCAACGAGAGCTGCTCGAGAACATGTACCGCAACAGCGAATTTGATGAACTGCTGAAGGAAAGCGACTACACCATCCGCCGACGGAAGGAGTGCCAGCAAATGGTGGAGAGTCTGTCTCGTGCCAGCGAGATCGTCAGCCAAGTGCAATAAATGCCCGGTGTCTCCCGCCCGTCATCTTCTCTCCACCTGTCTCAATTTTGAAAAGAAAAGAATGGTCCTCGCTTTTAAACTACAGCAAGTCTAGTTCTTGGCCGTCCAGCTTGGGGAGGGAAAGTTCCTCATTCACCTTCGAGGGAGTTACGTATCTTACGTTTATATTATCTTTTCTTTTCCTTTCCGTTCCTTTGCGCTACGAAGTCGAAGTTTCGAGCCCTTCCATACCTACCACAACACGATTTATCTACCCTTGTCGTTTCCTTTCCTCTCTTTCCCAGTGTTTTCGGATGTCAGGTTGGGGTTGGGTCGGGTTGTCAAGATTCCATATCACGAATTTGTATCGCCTATCATAATGATTGTTTTGTGGCTTGATGATGATGCTTAGTTTTCTTTTCTCTTTTTCTTTTTTCTTTGAGTCTTTTTCTCCCGTCTAGAATACAGATCCGATCCTTAGTAGTTGCCCTCCTTCTTTTTCATGTATAGTACCTAGTTACTACTACTGCTGCTTTAGTTATAGATAAATTTTACTGCTTATTATGGTTTGCTGTTTTGCTTTTGTATAGTATGAAGCAGTCATAGTTTGAAGATTGAGATAAGCATACATGTGCAGTTTGGCTGACTTCTCATTCACATGATACTAGCTGTCGCTATCGAAGCCACGGATCCTGAGAACTGTCTTGTGTTTATGGTTCATGTCCCTTATCCTCTTCCTGTATGTAGGTACCACCTATCAACAATTCACCAGAAATTGTTCCTTATCTCCGTTATTAGATACAACTTTCCCTGGCTCTGTAATCGACGTCCATGTAGGGTAGCCGTTACTCGATGATGAAAAACGTCGTATGATTGATGATGATGCTAAGTACAGAAGTAAACGACCGCCCTACAAGACCAACCGCTCACGTGGTGAGTGCCCTCACCGGCTACTAGCACCAACAAGGAACATCACCTGCAGGCACCTTTTTTGGCCTCCTTGTCACCATCTCGCAGGTTGTTCCGGGAATTCATTGCTTCCTCGATAGCCATTTAGGAAAGGAAGTGAAAGTACCTTTTAGCAACCGCTTCTGTACGGCGAGCCGCTAAAAAGAACGTGGTCGATTCATCCTCAAGTGACTCGAACCGGACCATGAATCCATCTTGCCGAACGTGTCCAGTGTAGTAGGTGAGATGGAAAGTGAACCTGAGGTTCGCTTTTCGTGTCTGCGCCAGCGTGTCTATTCTTAAGATCTCTAGGTCCTTGCCACTTGCGTTCGTCGCTAGCGTCATGATGGGCAGCTCTAACCATTGGTTTCCTTGCCAGTTGTTTTGTTCTCGGATGAATGGGTGGACTATGGCGATGTCTCCCGGCTTGGTTGAGGCTTCTCTGTAGCTTTCGTTTCCCCATAGATCAAGGTCATAAAGTCATGTTGTATGTGCACAGTATAAGAGTCTGGAGGTAGTTTGGATTTGGGTGTAGCAAACGATAGAAGATAATTGTAGTTGTAGATCAAAACACCAAACTTTGTTGAACTTCTTGTGGAATTTCCTTTGGCAATGTCTGCGAATGTGTAACGAAATGACTGCAATTTTATCTGCGCTTCAAGTGAATTTGCCCTAAAGCGACGGCGCAGACACACACGCAAGCCAACCGTCATTGACAGACTTGACGCGTAGCTCGTCTTTCTCGAGCTCGGACAACTCTGACGTGAACCACGTCAGCGCTGCATCCTGCATATATGCTTATATATTGCCTTTAACCATGGGCTCTCCCTTGTAACTGATTAGTAGAGTAGATTTGCCGGCGGCTCAGAGATGCCACAGTCCGTGTGACGATGATAATCAGTGTTTGGTGATTGTCTCATGGTAGGTTTTCATGATCGATGTTCTTCAATATTAATAGCTGCGTAATACATTGCGATCCCTTGGTCGCCATGCATGTCGATCTCAGAGCCCTTTTTTCGTTCTCGCGGTGATAATTTCTATCACTTAGTTAAGCGTCTCTCCTCTTTCTTTTCCTTTATCCTGGCCTTTGTCATGGCCTACTCATTGCCTCTGGGCTCAATCTGAACTTGTAGACTCCCCAGGCGTTGTCATCTAAGCCTGTCCGTATCCTGTGGTCTCCGCTCCCAAGTCGTCATATCCCTTTAAAATGTACCCCTGACTGGCGGATGGCATGCTACCATGTAATATGGCCGACCGTACCGGTTCAATATATGCGATGAAGTTGAATTGAAAAGGCTAATTCCTCCAATTCATATAGCCGCGAGGCTTGTTCAACTGCTGATCGCTCGCAGGATTTCGCCATGGTGTTAAAATCAGCCAAGGAAGAGTTGCTGATTTGTCTCCACAGAGGACATAATATTCCCCGAAAACCGCGAACGATAGTCTACCGTTCGCCTGGACGACCACTGGGCCCCCTTTGGGTTGTCTAACTCGTCGAATTAAGCCACCTGTGTCAAAGCCTGCAGGCCAACACTTCTGTCTCGCCTTCGCGGAAACAAGTCCTTCCTCAACCAGCTTGGCGATCCAAAGATCGTATAACTTCGTGTATTTGGGTGGCAGATCGGCTTCCTCTGGGTCATGGGAATCGAGTGAGGGACAGTACGGCAAATTTTTTGGTGCAGTATTGATGTGCGTCGTTAAATCATGGGAGTAAATTTTGGTAGGTAGGGGTCCGCGATTGCGTCCGGACGAGGACGAGGCAGCTGCCTTATCCACGGCCGTTTGCCAGCCTCGAGCGCCGACCGCAACCTGCTGAGGAGGAGCCATGAAGAGCGACGAACTCGGAGAGTGAGGATTCAAGGGTTCGGAAAGTGAGAGTCAACGAAGGCACTGTCGCAAGGCTAGAACAGCTTTGTTGAAAATTCGCAGGTTGTCTCCTGTTGCGAACTATCTTTGACACTTTGACGATCCTCTTTTTCAAGAATGTAGCATGTTTTTGCGAATAGCCGGTGCCTCTCTAGGTGATCGGAGAGGACCAGGTCGAAGCTTATCCACAAATCCGGGTCAAGGATCAATTAAACATCGGCGGCAAAAGAACTAGACCATAATACCACCAGATCCCCCAGGTCCAGAGGATCTATTTCGGATTGTGCTTCATTTTGATCAGGCTACAGGCCTTTCTCAAAAGGAACCCAACGGCAGCCCACACAGAAATACCCGGACGGTTCGTCTGGAGTATATCTAGCATTCTTAGTCACGAGAGTCGCTGGTCTCTTAGAGGTTATATTCCTCTCCATGATGTTGCTTGAGTATATCTGTCTTCATTGTCAAGAGTGCCTATAGGGGGTTTGGGACCCACGATAGCTGCGTCCGCCATTTTAAAAATGGTGACGGGGAAAGTAGAGCTTAAGAAGACAATTGGTCACACCGTACTATTCAAGGATTTATATCCCAAAATAAAGCTTGGGATTTGTCAATGTATGCTTCTCTTTCACGCGCTTTTTTCGTTATCTTGCAGCGAATTGACATTTAGGTTGCCCTCTGCTTCCGTTGTAGATGTGTTATTTTTGGACGAGTCGATGGAACAGCCTGTTTACCATGGCATAAAAGTTCAAATATCGGTTCGTCGGTGACATTTTCATCATTTGAAACATGCTAAAATGGTAGTCCAAATGCGTTTTCTGTGCCGTAATACAACCATCTGCCAGATTATTGTAGGCACGGCTACTGGTATTCGGCAATCATACTCCTCTATCATCTCTAGAATAGCTTCTCTAGGGTATGGAGGAAGCTGACCCGGAATATACCGCGGAGCTTTCACAAGAACGGTAGTAACGTAGAGCCTTACTCCGCGATGGCGCACTAGTTGTGTCTTGCTGGTATTTTGGACTTTTTTTTCCTTCTTATTTCATTGAATAGTGTCAACGAACATTGTTCCTTCGCTGAGTGACCGATCATAGCGAATGGGTAGCGGTTGCCCGTCTCGAGATATTGAAAGAAATCAATTGAACGCGTTCAGAAAAGGGAGAGTTGAAAACTGCTCGACATACGGATAATGTATCGAACCTCCAAGGTCGAACCGTCGGGGAGGGGTTTAAGAAACATTTTGGTATTGTTCATGATTGCTGATGCAAGGCGTGTTAGGAAATTTTGGAGTTGAGTCATGTTGAACTGTGACATAACAAGTTAGCATAACTAGCTAGAAGAGAGAATATAAGACACTTACAGCAAGCTTAATTTGCACGGATCCAGAGCCACTGGCTCCATCCACAACTCCGAGTTTCACATAGGCAGTCAGGGTAAGCTCTGGCGTGCCACAACACTTTAGTACACTGGCCGCGTCAAAGAACTGCTGACAAGCTTTGGCTTCCCAGTCTTCGTCTGCCAGCGAGTACTTGAGCGAATTAGCCAGGCGACTAAGCAGACTTCTGATGACTGAACGTACCTTGAATAATATTGACGCTTTACTCCACTGAGCGGGCATACTTGAAAGGGGTGTTTTCGAGGGCTCGATCATTGCTTGTTGAGCCTCAGATCTTTGGGTTTCGAGAGAAAAAAGCGTGGCAAATAACATGATTGATGGTCTGAAGAAGCTAAAGATAAGAAAGATACGGAAACTCTCGTGACGTGCAGGCATTGTATCATTCATTATCTTCTCGTTGCTCGACAGAAAACGGTAGCAAGACACAGCGCTCAACATTCCGGAGAACGTACTACCATTCCATTTTGTCCTTCGCATAGCGTCTGGCCAGTCCGAGGAAGGTGTAAAACAAGGGTAGTGCAGACTCCGGAATCTTCAGTCAATAAGAGGGCTTGACATAGGCTGATAGTACGTATACGGGACCCTGTAACTTCGTTTCGGCTACCTGGTTTTGTTCGTGCATATTGTCTGCTTTCATAATCGACAATATCGTTCGCTTTTCCACTTGTATTCCAAGTTCACGAATCGGTCTTTTGACAGCCATACTGGTCTGAATGACTTGTTTGTATGACCAGTATATTGTATATGTTAGTTGTAGTGCTTTCGTCCATTTCAAGCCGGTGATAAAATAGGATATTGGCCTTGTCAAATCCGAAAATCCTTGGGGCTCGGAAAATGCGCAAATTTGCTGTGCCGCTGCTCTTTAATTGGTTTGTAAATAATAGAACACACTAGTTCTGAAATCGATATCAGGAATGCAAATTCTAACATTTTCAATCTTTCTGAAGCTGAATGGTTCGCCTAAATTATATAGTTAGCGCCCATTCTCAGTAATATCATTCAGAATGTTGATAAACCAAAGGGAACCGTGGTCAAGATGTACGGGTAAGATCTGTCATTGAGTTGACCACAAGGTCATATCTACCGGATTTGACTTACCGTGCGGCAGCTAGGCCGGCCGTGATTGTCACGACCAGGGCACCGCGATTCGCAGTACCCGTCAAGAAGTAGCACCCTCGTCAAAGACACACGATGAGGCAGAGACACGTGGCAGAGACCGGACGCACTACCAAGGAGATGCTCGAGCAGTAAGAGTCCTATATGTACAACTCATGAATGTTTTGCCATGGTGACCTTAGCTGATCTGGCAAGCATTCAACCTCCAGATGTCGTTTTAGTGGGCTTAAAGTTCGCTTTCCATGTCTGGGACCACATGAAAGAGAATAAAATGCCCCAAACAGCGATGTCATTAAAGCCTATAGGCGATGAATGGGAGTGTAGGTCAATATTGATCGAACAAGTGTCTAGTATGGGGCTGTAAGGTTTGAAATCGATTGAGAGGGGGATGGGAGATGGTTGGAAAGAGGAAGATGGAAGGGGGAGATGGAGGAAGTAGAAGATATTTAGTAATTGGCAATCAATATTGTAGGAATTCAGCGAGATTCCGGATGCCTACCGGAGCGTTCCGCTGACCTATCCCAAGATGATGTCATTCGATCATGTCTTATGGGAGGTTCCATTAGTTGATCACCGCCTTGATCAGCATAAATAGGGCCTTTCTGCGTGTATCTAGAGCTTCATCAACAACAACCTTTCATCTATCTGTTTTCTAGTCAATTGAATTGTTCTATCGTGGACCACCCCCCTCTGCCAATTTCCTACAGGTTATGAGCCCGGAGCCTTTAGGGGCTACCGTGGTATCTAGTCCTTTCCTCTTTGAGCGCTTTTGAAGTTATTCCCGCTCAGAATGTCTACTGTTTCGCCCGCTCAGCAAGAAATCGAGCAAGAAAACCACTACTTATTACGCCGCAGCGTTCCTCTGTTCTCCCAGCAGTAGAGAACCCTATACAAACCAAAACGACTGCGTGCTACCCTCAAACCAACCGTCCATTTAATCGTCTAAATGAATGAAGAAATCGTCCTTCCGAAGTGCCCAGCGAGTTGCTGAGGCAGCCTTATCAATCAAGTTGATTATTGTTTGTTTTATTGATCGAGGCGATCAATCCTTTGTGGGCAGGGTGCTTTCCTCTTGTTGATCGAGTTGAATCAACCCCGTGTGGGCAGGTGGCCTACCATACGTCTAGCGAGGTGCTGAGGCGATAAAACCTTTGTTGATTAAGGAGATAAATCAACCCCGTGTGGGCAGGGTGCCTACCGTACGCCTAGCGAGTTGCTGAGGTGATGAATTGATCGAGGTGGTCAATCATTTGTTCTTATTGATCGAGGTGATCATTGTTCTGTATGGAGGCGAGTTGCCTACCTACCTGTTTTACTGTTTTGTATTGCTTCATGTTTTCCAAAAGGGGTAATGATTCGAAAGATCATCATCTTGAGAGGGCGTGTAGGAATTCAGCGAGATTCCGGATGCCTACCGGAGCGTTCCGCTGACCTATCCCAAGATGATGTCATTCGATCATGTCTTATGGGAGGTTCCATTAGTTGATCACCGCCTTGATCAGCATAAATAGGGCCTTTCTGCGTGTATCTAGAGCTTCATCAACAACAACCTTTCATCTATCTGTTTTCTAGTCAATTGAATTGTTCTATCGTGGACCATCCCCCTCTGCCAATTTCCTACAAATATAGAGTGAATATATATTCACTTCAGGAAGCTACCATTCCAACCGGGAACTCTTCGATGAATGAATAATTCTGTCTTCTAGCTAATATAACTGACTTTGGAGAATTTTCTTTTCCTTTTGGCATGGTGAAAGGGGCAAATAGAAGTAGTTGGAAGCTGTCTACATAATCCATGAAGCCAAAATGTGTGTACTTTGCGTTTGCTATGTCCATTTGCTATTATACCCCGTGGTATTGAGTAGATAACTTAGGGTAGTCATTCAGTGCATGATAGACCATGGCCCCGAGTTGTATAGGGGTCGATGGGATCATGGGATCAAGGAATTATACGGAGTACATACGGCGTCCAAGAGGGATAGTTCCACTCAAAATGAACTAATTTGAATATTGTTTTTACTCCGTAAATTGTTCCTCTATCACTAAATAAAGTCCCGTCAATTCAAGAGTTTCTAGACAACTGTGGAGCCGGTAAGCACCAGGGCGTGAAGCTTAGCTGTCTTAGAATCAGCCCATATCCACCACCTCCGGGATTTGATTTTGAAAGTCCCGCAAACATGTTTGATTTAATTCTCCGGAATAACCCACCAACTCCGTAAAGAGTAAATAACGTGAGCGACGAGGACCTTGCCCTCCACCCATGGCTCAATCCCAGACATTGGTGGACCCACCGTGTATAGGAATGACACTAGGGCGGACCAACCTCCGAGATGAAACGAGTCTCCCCTTGGCGTCACTGGAAGAGTTGCCGGTGGAGGTCCCCTGAACTACACCAGCGTCCCGGAAATTAAGTGGGTTTCAGAGCCCTGAATCGCATTGTCGGAGAAACTATGCCAGTGCAAGCAGAAGAATCGGACCCTCTCCGTGTCCTGGATTGATATATAAAACCTTTCTCCCGGACTGAAGTTTCAGTCAACCAGCTCGAACCTGTTCTTCAGTTGAAACCCAATTCCTACCATCAAAATGCACAGCTTCGCTGCCCTCGCCGCTCTCGCCGCTGTCGGCCTCGTTAACGCCCAGGAGAGCATCGAGTTCGGCCCCGCCTTCTCTCTCGGCCCTACTCAGTCATGGATCCGCGAGGCTACCACCACCCTGGTGCTCCCCGAGGTCCCTAGCCCCCAGGAGGACCGTCTCGCTCTGTGGCCCGGTATGGGCACCAGCGGTGGTGACCTGATCCAGGCTCTTGCCGTCTCTTTCTCGGACCCTAACGCGTGAGTTGAGATGATTCCAGATGGTGGGATTTTACTGACAGTTATAAGCAACTGCGGCGCCAAGGAAGGCCAGTGGTGCACCTGGGCTAGCACCCTGCAGGGTAAATACAACTCGCTCCGAGGTCCAAGGGATTCGCATAGCTAACAGAATCATAGACACCCAGCTGGGCGGAAAGCAGGTCCCTGCCTCCGCTGGCGACAAGGTCGAGATGCACTGTACGTCCTCAACCACATCCACTCGTCCAAAGAGCGACACTAACAAGTCAAACAGACAAGTTCAACGACGAGACCAGCAAGTACGACCAGACCGTTTCCATCAACGGCGAGGTTGTCTCCACCTTGTCGACCAGTAAGCTACCCAAATCCTCTCCAGTCTTGTCCACCATACTAATACACAACCTAGGCTCCGGCCAGGCCCAGGGCTGGGGTACCGCCGTCGAGGCCCAGGACAACGCCTCCAAGAGCAAGGTCGCTGCTCACAGTATGTTCCTATCTTTTCTTCACAACCGCTCAGCGGATGCTAATAAAAGCAGAGTACGTCGACACCACCATCATCCTGAACGCTGCCGACTCCACCTTCGCCGGCACCCTTGGCCTGAACAACGCCGACTCGACCGGCCTGAACACCGAGGACAACAAGACCTTCAAGGTCGACACCATCACCATCAACGCCCACACCTTTAACTTCTAAATGACTCGCCCGGGTGGTGAGTTTGGTTTCTTGGAGTGTATATAGCAGTGTATATATAGAGCACGGATATGTTGATCACTTGACGTGAATACTACATTCTCAGGTGCTGAAAATGCATAATAATTGCGAATAATATTTTATGTCCATTTTTGTAAGAAGCGAAGATCTCAAAAAATCTCAAAAAAAAAAAAAAAAAAAAAAAAAAAGTGATCACGGACCCTTTAGCAAAAACTGCCATGGGCTTGACAGGAACTACTGCAACAGTACAGTGCACGGGACCCTCGAAGCCCTATATCCAGCCCGTGGAAAACGACACGCAGAACAGTTCGCCGCAAATAACCGCGATAATGAGGGCGATAAAGTGATAAATCTCCCATTACTTCATCTGGCACACTACCCCAACTCCGCGGACCCACTTATACGGATCTACTCCAACTCCCCGCGATATCCAAGCTATCTCCATCTCCCATCCATCATCCCTCTTACCAATTGATTTATCTAGAAACATTGCGCAAGACAGTCCATACCCAACGAGAATGCCACCAACTAAGCGCATCGCCGTAGCCCAATGGCACATCAAAGTTCGTCGCGCAGCAATTCCAACTCCAACCAGTGAGCTAACCACGACGTAATACACAGGACCTCGAAATCGAACACAACCACAAAAAGGCATGCCAATACATCCGCGAGGCCGCATCACAAGGCGCCGAGCTCGTCGTTCTCCCTGAGTAAACAACCTCTACCTCTCTCTCCCACCTCCACCCACTAAAAACACCAAACAGATACCACCTAAACGGCTTCATCCCCACCTCCCCCCTCTACGCCACCCAAGCCGCATCCACCCAAAGCTACCTCACAACCTACCAGGCGCTCGCGCGCGAGCTACAAATCTGCCTTGTCCCCGGCACCATCGTCGAGAAACACGGCGACCGGCTCTACAATACCGCGTACTTCATCTCGACGGACGGGTCGATTCTCGGCTCCTACCGCAAGAAAAACATCTGGCACCCTGAACGCCCCTACCTGACTTCCTCGGGGCCGGACGAGCGACATGAAGTGCTGGATACGCCGGTCGGCAAGGTCGGGCTGCTAATCTGTTGGGATTTGTCGTTTCCTGAGGCATTTCGGGAGTTGGTGGTCAAGGGCGCGGAGGTGATTATTGTGCCGACTTTTTGTAAGGCTCCTTCCTCTCTCATTTGGTTTTGCTGGTACCCCTCTGAAGAAATAGCTAGCTAACCGGGGCAAATCAAGGGACGAAACACGACGCCTCGCCTGCCCTCCTAGCGGCGAACCCGGATTGCGAGACCCTGCTTCTCGAATCGATGCTGACGGCGCGCTGTTTCGAAAACACGTGCGCTGTGATCTTTGCGAACGCAGCGAGCTCCGACGAGGACAGCGAGGGCAAGTTCCTCGGTCTTTCGGGCCTGCATGTCCCTGCGCTCGGGGCTGTTGGAAAAATGGGCCCCGGGGAGGGTGTGTTGGCGGTGGATATGGATCTGGGGCTGGTGAGGCTGGCGGAGGAGAATTATAAGGTCAGAGCTGATTTGGGGAGGGAGGGGTGGCATTATGGGTATTGGTTTTAGTGTGTTGCGTTGGGGATGGGTTTGTTTGTTGTGCCAATCTATCTCCCTTGGGATCAGACCTGCAGAATTTGCTACTCCTAGTCATTCGATTATGGAAAAAGCCGTAGCAATGCCCCACCAGTGAGACAAAGTACCGAGTTGTAACTAGATATCAAAGCCCACGTCCTCGAAACTGGCTATGGAAATTCCCCAAGTCGCTTCTCTTACCTGCGACAGTCGTCTCGAAGCTCAGTCGGGTTCCACGGCTGGTCATGATGGCTCCTGGTCTCTTCATACTATATAGATCTGACTTAACCTATTCTAAACTTTCTTTATGCCTCAAAATAGTTAGTTCGTTATACATTATACGATCCATCAATCAATCCAACAATCTAAAATCCACAGGATTAAAAAAACTTCAAACCCTCCCCCCACCAAACCCCCCAGCATTCACCACCGCACCAAAAACCGGCTTCCCACTAACCCTATAAACCAACCTCTCCGTCGCGAAATGCGCAAAAACCGCATGAAAAGTCGGTACAGCGCCGAACAGCGTCCCCGCGACAGGAAAACAAACCCTCTCGGCAACCTGCGCCAGAGACCACGCTCTCCTCTCTGAAAAGCCCACCTCCTCGCCTCCCAGCCCCGCGGCCAACATATCGCCTCTCCGCTGGGCCAGACACAATCCGTACCATCTCTCGAAGAGGCTCAGGCAGATGTTCATGCCTAGGAAGGAGAGGGTGCGCAGGATGGAGGTTATGTTTAGGGTTGAGAGGATGGCTGGGGGGAGGGAGGTTGGGGAGGGGTGCAGATGCGGGTATGCGGCTGAGAAGATAAGGAGGAGGAAGATGTGGCAGGGGAGGAAGTGGGCTTCGAAGAGGAGGTGGAGGAGGGCGAGGTGCCGGGGCTTGGAGAGGAGTTTGAGCGAGGCGAGCGAGGTGGAGTTGCGTGCTGCAAAGCCGGAGTCGAGGGCTCCCCACATGTGGCGGAGGGCTTGGCGGTAGCGAGCGGTGCAGGTGGAAAGGGTTCGAAGGGATTTGGATCTGGAGCTGGCGTCGCTGGAGATGTTGCATTGGCTGGCGGGGATGTGCACGACGCGGGAGACGACAGTTCCGCAGGTCTCGAAGTAGCATTTCAGCATCATGTGCATGTCCTCACCGATGGCGGTGGGGTCGGTGTCCCAGCCGCCAACGCGGTCTGCGAGAGGCAGGGACAGGGAGTAGACGGAGGTGGGGATGGAGATGGGCGAGGCGGGATGCATGGTGGACAGGCCGGCGAAGCTCCAGAGGAGGTCGGCGCAGCGGACGAGGATGGGCGTGTCGTTGGAGTTGCGGTCGAAGATGATGGGGCAGGTGTAGAGGGTGTTGAAGGCGTCGGTGGGATAGGTGAAATGGAGGCGACGGATCTCGGTGAAGTAGTCTTGCCAGAGATGGGTATCGGCTGGAGGGGTTAGCATGTACAGTTAGTATCAGGGAGAGTGCTTACCGTCCATGACTGTGATTATGATATTGCATTCGGTGGAATAGAGCTCGGATCGATGGACATCGGCCACGTACCGAGCGGCGAAGGAGACGTTGGAGCTTTTCCCTGCGATCTCGCCGGGGATGTTGGAGGGATGGAATGTGGCGCGGATGTCGAGGAAGCAGGTTTCGTATGCCGTGAGCAGACTGGTGGCCTTTTCGGAGCTGCCGGTCTCTTTCTGCTCCATGGCGAGGTAGATCTATCTAGTCAGATTGGATCGAAGTTGGGATCGAATATACTTACTTCATACTGAGCTCGTGCGCGAGGATGGCTGGCGAGGACGTTCAGAGTGGTTCGCAGAGTATCGATATCTTCGCTATAGTTCGGTAGAATGATAGCATGAACGACCTCGTCCTCTTCTATTGAAATGTTGTCTATCTCGAAAACCGACGAGTCAGGCAATTTCTGGCTTGACGTTCCTTGATAGCCACTTTCGCTGGGAGAGAGATCTGGTGCTCGAGAGACCCTTCGATCAATGGCTCGTTTAGTCTCCACGGGGATCCTGAGCAAAGCCCACGCCAGACGGACGGTAAACGCAAACATATTAGTGTGCACAAAGATACTATAGACCATGAAAACTCGCTGGGCCAGGGTCAGGTCTTCCGGGTCTGAGGGCGAGAGCGGACGTTTCCATGGTAAAGGCACGAAATCGGCAGTCAATAGCAATAGAGCGAGGAGAATGATGACACTAAAACCAGGTAGGCAGCGAGAAATCCAGCGCGATATCATTGTGAAGTGTCTGGCAGCTTGATTTGGGCCCTACTCGAGGGAGCAGAACCTACAGAGTATAAGAGCTCATGCTCTAGGGGTAAACAGATGCCTATGGTAGTGTTGATCTACTCATTTTTAGGATGTCGAGTCTATCGTTGAGGCCATTCATATCATCACGATGCCCGTTGGTGGTATTCCATTTGACCATGATTCAGGGTATTGAGAGAGTTTGGATGATCAGACTTAGACGGGCCGATCAGTTTAGAGGTCTCCCTATGGTAAGGTAGAGACTGAAGAACCGTCAATAGTTCGTCCATACAAATTGTGCCCATTGGTGCCTGTCGATCAAGGGGAGAACCAGGGATGGAAATCTATAATTGATTTAGGGGGGGGCACTCTTCAGCAGAATTTGGCAATCTGAACCACCTGCAAAATATTAAGTCAAGTTTTGTTATCTCATAGAAATATCGCGTTTCAATGTGCTGGCAAGGTATGTTTTCAGATCTAATGCACATATATTAGCCGCATGCAGGTGTAGTTTTACTTAATACCCATTAACTTGATTAACCTCTTGCTAATCTTCACTATGAGGAATTAAGCCAGGATATCCCATGTTTGGTGCTTTAATTGCTGCTAAACTAACCTTATTCTCGAATAGCTCGAGCAACCAGAGCCGGAGCACACCGTCGCCGTAACAATGCTGATTGGCCGACAGTTTACACTTCATCTCTCCTCCTCCCACCAATAAATCAAGATCCCGGACCACATGGTCAGGGCTGTGGCTAGATCTCGCAGACTGCAGACTACGGTGAGCAAATTGCAGATATGAGCGGTGAGTGCATCAGCGGTAACGATAGATCCAGTCGATAGGTAACTGCCCGGCATGCATGCAGGATCCCTGCTGCACACTGCTGTGGCTGATGAAACGAGAAAGTGTCGCGAGTGTCGAACAGCATGGCAGACTGGTCGGGAGAATAAGGGGAAACGTTGCCCTGAATTGTGTTGTGTCGGGAATTGACATGATTTGAAGTGGTCACGGAACGATATATCTCACTTCCTATGGGCTAATCTGCGACTATCAAAGCCACCATGTCATAGACATAAGGATAATCCCGACACGGTGACCATTCAATTTGACTCAGCATGCCTGGTCTAGGGAACGGATATTCGGTCTCTTGAAGGAATATCACATGTAAAGACCGAATGGTCATAGGAGAAATGTGGCAAAAGTCAACTGGAACTTCTTAGGGACGGCAGAGGATCTAAGAAAAGCGAATAAATAAATAAATAGATACATGGATATTGAAAAGAAAAGCAAAAGAAGATAAAAAGAACCGAAAGACGGAGGGGAAGGATTTCCAAAAGCAAAAAGAAATAGCATGTCCTGGTTTCGATCCAGGGGCCTCCGGGTTATGAGCCCGGCGCTCTTCCTCATGAGCTAACATGCTGATTGTTGAAAGTACGGAACTTATGAAGCATTATAAAGGACAACTGCTACGAAGTCGTCCAGGAAGTTGCAAGTCTTCCACTCGTTTCTCTTCCCTGCTTTTTCACTTTATGAGTTATCCAAGGCTCTAGACTCTCGCGGTCAATTGGTCACCCGACAAACTTTGGCGTCATCCGGCGAACCTCGGAATCAGCTGCCAAGAATGCGGGCCATGTGAGATGGCCGTCAGTCCCCGGTGCTCCACCCGCCAAATGATCCTTTTCCCCTTCCATACTCTAGACTCCCTGCACCACTCCAGATTCCAACCACAATGGCCCCGTTAACAGCGACTGAGGTTGTCAACCACCCCGCCTACAAGGCTGTGGGCTATAATCTGACCCCTACCGTGTCTGGCACCCACCCAGTGGCCCACAACCGTCGCGGGGGCCCTTTCAACCTGTATTACGAGATCCATGGCACGGGACCAATCAAGACTGTCGTATGTGCTCGAGCCTTCATCATCTCCCATTCACTCGAACAAAAGACCAAGTCTGACAGGCATTAGTGGATCATGGGGCTCAACGCCTCGCACCAAGACTGGCGCCGCCAAACCCGGTACTTCGGCCACGAGCACGCCGACAAGTACAGCTGCCTGGTGTTCGACAACCGCGGCGTCGGCCAGTCCGACAAGAACGTCACCTTCTACTCCACGTCCGAGATGGCCCGCGACGCCGTCGACCTGGTCGCCTCGCTCGGCTGGATCGATCTCTCCGCCGCCCCGGCGCGCGCGATCCACGTCATCGGCGCCAGCATGGGCGGCATGATCGCCCAGGAACTCGCCATGTTGATTCCCGACCGCCTGGCCAGCTTGTCGCTGTGCTGCACTGCGCCGCGCCTTGTCCGCACCGCGCCGTTCATGGAGAACCTGTACCAGCGCGCGAGCATGTTCATTCCCCGGCACATCGACGTCGAACTGGACCAGTTAGCGCATTCGATCTTTGCGGATGCGTTTCTGACCCAGCCCGATGAGGAGCATGAGGATGCGAGGCTGAATTTTCCGACGAAGCGCGATCGGTTCGCGGCATCGGCGCTGAAGAAAAGGGAGGATACCGAGGGGTTCACGAAGAAGGGGTTCATGTTGCAGATCGTGGCGTGCTTCTTTCACCAGAAGACGGCGAAGCAGCTGGCGGAGTTGGCGGAGAGGGTGGGCCGGGAGCGTATTTCCCTGCAGCATGGGACGGAGGATCGCATGCTGACGTTGAAGCATGGGGAGATTCTGAAGGAGGAGCTGGGCGAGGGGGTCGTGTGGAAGGCCTACGAGGGGACTGGGCACATGCTGGGCTGGGAGAGAGAAACCGAGCTGAATGGGTTCTTGGATGAGTTCATACAAACGTGGAGCTGAAGCTGGTATGGAAATCAGCTCAGATGCGTTAATCCCATGGTATAGAAACCGTTGACCAAAATAGCAAGATGACAAGTGATCTTGTATCCCCAGACCCCCCTGCACCGTCACCTGCCCCTACCCATGACCTTAGTTATCCCAGGATGCCATCATTAGGACGAGTAAAAATAGTACAAGAAAAGCAAGCTTTCCCCCAAACGCCATATATCTTTACCTCCCCAGCCAGCCCATCCATCCCCCATAACAATCTACAATCTACACCATCACTACCTACCACTACCATGTCACTGCCCACCACCAAACCCTCCCCCCAAAAGGGCGACTACCAACCCGCCAACCCAACCGACCTGCGCGCCCCCTGCCCCGTCCTCAACAGCCTCGCCAATCACGGCCTCATCTCTCGCTCCGGCCGCAACATCACCTCCACCGAGCTCACCACCGCCCTCCGCGACCTCGGCCTCGGCATTGACGTCGCCTCCCTCCTCGTCCGCACCGCCTTCAAAGTCCACACCGATGACCCCGACAACGCGCCCCCAGGATCCTCCTGGTCTGGCCTGCGCGACCCAGACCAAGTCAACTCCGACGGCACTCCCGTCCTGAACCTCGACCAAGTCGGACGCCCGCACGCCATCGAACACGACGTGTCACTAACACGCCAGGACCGCGCCCTGGGCGACTACATGTCCCTGAACCCGGACCTGTACGCCCAACTCCTCTCCTATCCGGAGGACACCTCGGAATTCCGAGTCTCGGATCTCGGCCGCCTGCGCAAGATGAGATATGAGCAGCAGAAGCAGGCGAATGGGCAGTTGCAGTTCGAGAAGAAAGAACACTACATAGCGTGTGTGGAGGCCGCCGCGGTTCAGATGGTTTTCGGACAGGGGGTTACGAGAAAGGTGCCGAGGGGGTATATTGAGGCGCTGTTTGGGGATGAGAGGTTGCCGTATCAGGAGGGGTGGAGGCCCAGGTCGTGGAAGGTGTTTTTGCCGGAGGTCGTGGTGTTTATGGTGGCGGTTTCGGGGTATGCGTGGCCGTTTTGAGGGGGGTTTGCTTTGCTTTGCTTTTTCTATTTATTATGTGGGGATTGGCGTTTGGGGTTGTTTGCTGGGTTTGCTACGGGGCGTTAAGGTATGATGGTTTTGCTTTTAGACTTTCTATTTTAATAATGGTCGTCTTGCTAATGGCTCGCGGTTTGAAACGGATCCGATCTGCCCTTCTGCCCTATGATATGCAGCTAATAAGTCAGAATGCATATTTGCGCAAGGGTACGCAGGCAACAGGATTTTTTATTCTACTATAGACACCGTGAATGTGGGATTTGCCTAGCTAGTTAATATTCCAACACAACTACGCTAAGGCGTATAGCATACTACTCCTCCTCATCGGGTCTGCCGGAGAATGTCTCTGCTTGGAAAGCCATATTTGGTCCGTAACTGATGATCTGTGGCTGCGGTCCGGGATGGGGAGTGTCGTTACCACCTCCAGTTCCTCCGTTTCCTACATTGCGATTGATACAAAAGAAACGAACGCCACAAATTGAATGTAAACTATGATTATAGCGCATAGTATCAATGAGATGACTGGCAAAGAAAACGATCCGCAAGGAAACTCCATATGCAAATTCTTTGTGGTTATCATGAAAGGAAAGGGGTTGGTGCGATACGCGTCAACGCGGGTAGCAACTGATTCGATCTGGGTACTGTTGTTCGGACTTGGATGCGTTGCGATGTCCTGTTTACTGACCACCTGTACCGCGTATATTCTATCCTTCTCTGACATGAAATGGAACGCGTCCCATAGGAATACTTCCCTGCCTAGCAAGGCTTCTTCCTCTTCTGCTCGCACCATTCATGAGTTGACTATATCAAGACAAGTCATCCTTTGTGTTCCAGAATCTGAGGAGAGACATTACTTTCTCTGCGACTTATGTCTTTGCTTCCCTTTTAAAGCCTGGTCAATCAGATGATAGCTCTTCATAGTTACAGCCAACTGCACCCTTCTATCTAATATCCCCCCCGCTACTTTTTATCGCCTGGGCCCCTCTCCCTTTTCGTCCCTTACCCTTCACATACCGGCCCACCATTGCGCAACGGGGCCTTATCTATTCGGAGCTGGAATTTGGTTGCTGGGGGCAGTTGCTGGTGCGAGATGGATGTCACAACTCTTCAGGACCGTATACAGTCGACGCTGGACGTGAATGCGGATAATCGATGTCAGGCGGAATTGGATCTGAAATATGTATGTGTTGGGATGCTTTTTAAGATGGGCCCTCTTTCAACTTTCGGGCTCCCTAGTACTTACGTCTTGTCGGATGCTTTTTCTTTTTTTTAGGCCGAAACTTAGCCCGGCTTCATAAATGCGCTGTTGGATATTCTGCACGATAATAAACCACCATACAACGCGGTAGCGGCTGGATAAGCGGTACTTCACAGGAAAAAGAAAATAATACATGCAAATGTTATGCACCTCTGCATAGCACCGATCATAATCAGATTTGTGCATCTTCATTCTCAACAGTATTGTCATTACTATTGTTCACTTCAGGAGCTGATTGCTTTGGAGGGGGCATAGAGAATTTCAGACCTTCATGATTCTTCTTGGCCGGCTCTTTCGTCAGACTTCGGTTTCTTGGTAGATTTCGCTAGTGGTAACTCTGCGAAGCACGAAATATTGACTCCAGCATCACGAATTATCAGGGGAGTGGGTGCATTGGCAGGACCCCGCGGATCCTATGCTGGGAGAAGATCCATGAACCTCGACAGTCCAAATTGGCTTTTTGGTTATCGACATTCGATTGTCCGATCTTTGATAAGGCAAACGCGACAGAATGTTGGCTACCAAGTTCTCTTTTCTTGGTCTGGACTGTTGGCAAATGGGATAGAAATGTATAGGTATCACCCCCGCTTGTTTTTTAACGAAAGTGGTTTGCCGTCAGTCAGCCCGCAAAATCTGGGGAAAGCCCACGACTGTGTCGGGAGCTACGGTATCATCACCAGGATGGACAAAGCAAGGAATGCGTGGCTAGGGAAATCCGAGATTTTTAAATGTTCTGAAAAAAGGCTGGAACAGAGACCAGTTCTCTTGTGCTTTATCTGTAACGCAGGCAACTGTAACGAAAGTGATCTTTTTTCGGGGCTTACTGCCGGCAACAAAGGTCGCTTTGTTTGCAAAATCGAAAGCCACTAGGACTTTGATGGCTTTGATGTTACTCGTCGTTTGGATTTGTCATGATGTAGGACCCATTTGAACTGCTAACAAGGCCCAATGTCGAATATTATGGTGTGACTGGGGCAGTGTTTGCCCAAAGATGACTCGACCGTGCAATGAGTCTCTGCAAGCAAGTCCACGGTATTTTACGGGGGCACAGTGTTTCACTAGCAGAATACTGTCTAGAGTAGAGGAGCCCCCATTCCCTGACGACATGCATATTCTGAGCGTTTTGAGAGCCAGGTCTTTTTGTGATCCACATAGTAGGAGACAAGCTCTAGGAGGGTGGTTCACCCCTCCACTGTCTTCCGAAGTATGAGGTTAGCACCCATGGGAAATTCTCGGAACTAGAGGGCATTTGTCAAGACAATCGCTTCATCTGAAAAGATCGTCCAACAGCGTGAATTTCTCTGTGTGGAAGCAGCCTCAACATGATCCACCTTGTTCCGTTTTTTAATGGTCGTACTGCGGCAAGTATTCTTCGAGAGAACAGCTGGACGACTGCTGATCTCATGGGCCACCCACCAGGGGCCCTGCTCCAACAGGTACCCCCGATGCACCTGGACCAGCGGCGGACGGCACAAGGGAAAGACTATGCAACCTATGACCGGACAGCCCTTCAGGAACAGCATTGGATAAAATAGCCGATATAACAGCTGGAAGGCCGCCTGGAGACCCCGGCCACACTGCTGGCGCCATGGCTGTATTGGTAGGAATATTCGATGTCCGCCAGTAAAACTGCTTCTCAACGACCGTCCTCCATGAACTCCGTATGGGGAAAAGTGGTTGGGACGGAGATGACCCAGCTCGGTTGACGTGGGGTTGACAGGGTTTGGAAATAGAGGAGACAAGAACTCAAGAGGTAAATACAGACCGACAGACCGACAGACCGACAATCTCGCAGACCAGCGATGGAACGCAGAACACAAACATGGAGTGGAAACATCAGAAGGGCACTGGGTATTCTCACGAAGTACTGCCCCTGATTGAAAAATCAAGAAAAAACCCAAACAGCAACGGGAAAAGCGGCAGAGAACGCGGAACAAGGATACTTTAGAGAGACTGCACAACAGCTCTTCCGAATTCAATCTGATCTTGAAGCCCTTAAGCCTCTGCAGTATTCGCTTACAGGTAGATACAGACGGGCGTGTAAGCCTATACGTGTGGCGTTCTAGCGTACGCATGCCCTAAAGCCATAGGACTATATCCACTCTGCCAGTGCTCCACTGCAAGATCTTTCGTGCAAAGAAGACACCATGACACGACCTATACAGGCTCCTATAATTCCTGCCGAGGCAGTGCGGGTGGCCTCGGGATTCTGGAAGCCGGATATGTCGCGAAATCGGGGCGAAAGGACTGACGGGACTCCTCGTCCGAGCGGCCAGTATAAGCTGCCAATGAATCTTTTTGGATGTCTCGTGGGTTTTCTGTGATGCTCTTCGGGCCTGTACCAGGAGGTACATTAGGACTATGGGCTGCCGGAATCAAACCTTTGTATCGAAGACTTTTCTGTACGATTGATAGACCGGCAGATCCATATTGCACGTGGATTGTAGGCACTTGGTACAAGTTCGCGGGTTGGTCAATGGCCTAACCTGGCGAAACAAACTGAGTGGTATCTTGTCCACGCGTGTGCTTGGTCATGCTGACGACCCTTGTTTGCAGGTAGGCGATGCCCGGATGCCATGTTTTACTGCTGTGATAACGAAAGTGCAGCATCTTCTAGGATTGGGAGGTTAGTATAGTTGTTTCTGGTAGGCGACATGGCACGCTTGGCACGGCTTACGAGGAAACCCACAGCTTGATCTTGGTCTGTGCGGAATTCCTGTGAGATTCTGGAGATCTCTTGAGCTGGCTGGGGAGATGCACGAGAGAAGAAGAAAACAGGAGTAGAAGACTGGGCAGAAGCGCGACTCGAGTGGGAATGGGAATAGGTGAATCTGATTGTGAATATCAAAGTACGGGATTCATTCATCTTAGGATCTAGTGAATAGATGTATCTTCTCTGAAATCTGGTATTAATCATAATGCAAAATGAATTAATGTAAGTAATCTTAATTTAGATCTACACCCCCATGGAATTTCCGAAGCCGCCAAATCAGTTGGCGCCTGTGGGCTTTCTGCACACTTACAGCATAGCAAGCCCCCGCATCATTTCCAAGGACGCAACAGCCCTCTTTTCCCTATAGGGGCTATGTTGTTACACATTAGCTACTAAAGATCTCGTAGGTCAATTAGCATGACGTGGAGCGGCAGTCATAAAAGGTCGCTGTAAACATGACGTAGGGGGCTTGCCGCACTTAAGCCAAGGCATTGATTGTTTAGATCTATAGATATAAAGTCCTCCATTGTCGCCCATTTTCTTCCATCGCAACATCACGAGAAACTCTACTAAAACTACATCTTACTTCACTCTTCACAGACCAAACCTACATTCAATCCAAAAACAACCCTGACAATGTCTGACACCGGCCGCAAAGATTTCTCCACCAGTATGGCCCTCCCCAAGTTCCAATCATCCCCTCCAAGCCATCGCATACTAATGTTCCCGTTATTCTAGAGGCGGAAGAGAAGATCACGCCTGACTCGTCCAAGTCCACCACCGACAAGATCAAGGAGACCTTCACGGACACAACAGACAGGGTCTCTGGCGCCGCACAGCCAGATAGCGACAAGTCCGCCACTCAGCGCGCGTTCGACAGTACTCGCAGCGAGAAGGATGATCAGGTTCATGGAAGTAGCGCGCAGACTGTGTAAGTTATGCTTCTGATTTACAATGGAGTGGCGGGTGTGGCTAACATGACTGATTCATAGCGGGGACAAGGTCAAGAATGCCGTTGGCTTGGGGGGTAATTAATCAGGAACGGTGGCTGGATTGATAATGATGATAACATGATTTATGGATTTGATCAGATTGCTCATGGATTAATATGTTGTTGATATGGGGCATGGGACTTTGACGTTCTGTTTATGGCGGCCTGTTCTTTCGGTCGGCTACCATGTAGTCGGCTATAGATACAGGGCAATGAGATATCACGATTATTGAACTTTTATCCTGATTTCCAGTCATGAATCCATTACAATCATTCCGATTGACAGGATGGTGCTGTTATTTCTGTAGTATCTTCCACTGCCCTGTTCTATGGGGTCAGGGTGACGTCATGGTGAGAGTGCCAATCTCCAATTTCCAATCTGGACGCTGTATTGCACAAGAAGGTCAGTGCGATAATTATGTCACGGCATAAACAATCATACGATGTCTATTTAGAAAAACCCCAATGCACACTGAATATATTATTGAGATGTATCCCTGAAAGAGTTTGTATATTCTGGCTCGAGTGAAGATTCACTGTGTGGATATTGAAATCGTGTGAAGTGTAATAACCGAAATAGGAAAGTGGGAATCAGCTCACGAGGAGAGAAAATATATAGTGTCGGTTGCTGTGTTTATGGTCTGGAGCAGAATGCCACACTTTGTTCCAACACGACACGATCGATACCTCTCTCTAATGTCACTGCATAGTGTACGCAGAAAAAAAAAAAAAAAAAAAAAAAAAAAAAGAGGAGAGAAAAAAGGAAGAAAGAAAGGATTAACCATGAATATCATACAAGACATACTGCGAGAGCAGGTAAAGTGATGCAGGCTTATTCCGTAGTGTCAAATAACAAACCCCTAATTAGGCAGCCAAGCAGGTGCAGAATGCCCGAAAATTTAGACCGACGGCGTCTCGTAGTTTAATTGAGCAACCCCCACTTAAGCTCCGAGTCGCAGCTCGCTAGCACGACGCAGTGTTTCTGACGGTGAATGGCGCTGGCCATTCTGATTGGCCCGTGGATTTGGACGGTCGCTGTCCACGGACGCCGGAGCAGGCAGCAACTAAACAACGTCAATGAAATTGAGAATTCGGAATGACAAGAATGACAACGAGAATCCGAAGGTCAAGGTTTGCGCGGGATCCAGACTGGACGGTGGCGGTGCTTACGCGCCACAGTAACTGATAAGCTGCATGCGGGCAAAGGACGATCGGGACAGAAAGCGGTAATGCAGCCGAGCCAGGCCTTGCCTGCCTGAGGACGGGCCGCCAAGAGTCGGGACCCATGAGCGATTTCTGTCATTGCTTTTTCTCGTTGCTTTTTTCGCCAATTTCCTTTTCTTTCTTTAGCTTTGCATGTTTTTCGCTCCATCTGCACCGTCCTTTCATTCTTCCCTCCTGACCCTGGCCTCGCTCCCTCCTGGCGGTCTCGATCCCGTACAGCTCATCGCCATCTCCCTTCTTCGTATTCTGAGGCTGCGCTTAAAACCGGCCGTTCTTCCGCATTGATCGCCTTTCCAGCATGCTTTTGTCTCGAGTCCTTGCTTCCTTACGACGTCGCTGCGCAATGTCCAGAGGTTAACCGTGGCCCTTCCTTCTTGCATTCGTGCGATCTGCTGTGCGATCTTTTCTCCGACACTTCGGGGCAGTGCGCTCGGCGGACATTCTTCGATTCCTTGATCTTTGACCCTCGTGGCCGACAGATAACGCCGCCGCCGTCGCACCGCGTGCGCTGATCGTTCCCGCGAATCCTCGATCCTCAGTCACCTTGTGAACCCGCCCCCCCTCCTTCCTACCCCTCGCGTCCGGTTTGACCTGGTTGACGACACTCGATCGGCTGGCATTCCCAACGGCTCGGATCGGTGACACCGGGGGCCGCACGTGCTCTCGTTCGATCGTCAGGATGTATTCCGCCGTGCTGCGCTGGGTGACGGAGACCAAGGCCCGCCTGCCGTTGCTCCGGGATATTCATTTGAATTTCATTTTCCTCCACTACGCCTACATCATCATCTTCAGCCTCATCGTTTCCATCATCATCTACCCGGGTAGTAACCTGGCCTACATCGATGCGCTCTTCTTCTCCGTGGGTGCGGCCACCCAGAGTGGGCTCAACACCGTCGATTTCAACCTGCTGTACACCTACCAGCAGATCATCTTGTACTTTGTGTCGATGCTGACCACCCCGATTTTCATTCACACGATGTTGGTCTTTGTTCGACTGTATTGGTTCGAAAAACGTTTTCAGCATGTCGTTCGCGATGCCCGCGCCTTGCGTCATACCCGCTCCCGATTGCGGACAATCAGTGAGGACAAGGATGTGGACCAGTATGACAGGGAGGAAAGCGGCGTGGGGAACCGCTCGATCGTCGTCATGCGCAACACCCAGGAGAATACTGGCGCAAAACCTCAACAGCCACCGTCTCCAGAATACACCGACTCGGGATCGGACTCCGGCGCTGGCAGAGACGAGAATCCTTCAGAGAATGAGGATAACGGACAAAAAGGCACATCAGGCTTCGGGCTGGGCAGTCTGAGGTTTCCCACCCAATTGAGCCCTGAGCATCACATCGCCTTTCTCGAGAATCAGCGGAGGAACACCGGGGCATTGCGTATTCCGAGCCCGAGAGAATACGACCGTGGCGGCGTGCCCCAGATTCTCGGAGACCAAGAGATCCAGGAGGTCCAGTCGCCGCGACCACGGAGCAACGGCCGTGACGCACCGGACTATCGGCGTTCGGAGGAAGAAGATCAGGTCGGTCCTATGGACGGACCGCATATCACAATCAATGAGCCGGACATGATGCGGACGAGGACGAGAAACTCGACCTTTCCGCGACTTGACACTCGTCCGACCGTTCGTGAGACGAAGGACGTCGATGAGCCGTCGGGCTTGACGCGTACGACCACTCGGAGACCGACCTTCAGTAGCGTAAAACGCTCGTTGACGCATGAACGAGATCGGACGACGCTTCCGTACCTCAGCTGGAACGCCACGGTCGGCCGCAACTCCAACTTTGTCGACTTAACCGAGGAGCAACGGGACGAGCTTGGTGGCATTGAATACCGCGCGCTGAAAACACTGGCGGTGGTGTTGATGTCGTACTACGTTCTCTTTCATCTTCTGGGAATTGTCTGTCTTGTGGGGTGGATTATGACCACCCACTGGGGCTCTGTCGTCAAGGAGATCGGTCAAGGACGGCCGTGGTGGGCGATTTTCATGGCCGGGTCGGCCTTCAACGACGTCGGCTTCTCGATTACTCCGGATTCGATGGCCTCGTTCCAGGATGCCATTTTCCCGCTGCTACTCTTGACGTTTCTGATCATCATCGGTAATACGGGGTTTCCTTGTATGCTTCGGCTAATCATCTGGGTCTCGTCAAAAGTCGCTCGCAAGGAAAGTCCTGTGTGGGAAGAACTAAAGTTTCTGCTGGATCATCCGCGTCGTTGCTTCACTCTGCTTTTTCCTCGCAATGCTACCTGGTGGCTGTTTGCCATCTTGATTGCCCTGAACGGGATCGATTTGATCTTTTTCATCATCCTCGATCTGAATGATCCCACTGTTACGCGTCTGCCCGTCGGCATTCGGATTCTGGACGGTCTGTTTCAGGCAGCCTGCACCCGAACTGCTGGGTTTTCGGTGGTATCTTTGTCGGATATCCACCCGGCCGTGCAGGTGTCGTATCTGGTCATGATGTATATCTCCGTGTTCCCGATCGCCATCTCCCTGCGACGGACCAACGTGTACGAGGAGAAGAGTCTTGGCGTTTATGCCGGTCCGGAAGAGGATGACGACGACAACCAGACCGCTCCCAGCTATATTGGAACTCACTTGCGGCGACAACTGAGTTTCGATCTGTGGTATGTGTTCCTGGGGCTGTTCATCATCACTATCGCCGAGGGGGACCGTCTCCAGCGCACTGACCAGTACAACTTCCAAATCTTTTCTGTTCTCTTCGAAGTGGTCTCTGCATACGGTACTGTCGGACTCTCTCTCGGGTATCCAGGTGTCAATGCTTCCTTCACGAGCCAGTTCAGAACCATCTCTAAACTGGTCATTTGCGCCATGCAACTTCGTGGTCGCCATCGTGGCTTGCCCTACACCTTGGACCGCGCTATCCTCCTGCCGTCCGAGCACCTGCATGACAATGAAATCACCGATGCTGAGCGGCGCATGCGCCGGCGGGCTTCGAGCTTCAGCCAGATGCCCACGACGGACCAGCAGGACAACGGCACAACTTCTGGCCTGGACCCAAGGAGCAATGCCGACTCCATTCTCCGCCGACAGTCCACTAGACGATCCCAGCGATCGCAACGATAGATGTTTGATAAACTGATAGAGTATTGTTGTTCAGCGATCCATTTTTTTGTATGATTGTTTGTTTCACTATGATTGAATTAAGCGTTCTTGGTTGCATCTATTCTTTTTTTTGCGCTTTGTACATGTCTTGCATTGTCACTCGTGGCAGGTGTCTTGTATATAAACACATGTAAACCACACAGCGGGCTGTGTGCTATTTTAGAACTGGCCGAAGTCATTTCTTCCGTGTCCATGACTCGTAATGTCCAAGGGGTTTCATTTCGAGGCTCCAGCCGCCCCAGTTAACCTTTTCTTGGCAGGTGCTTGTTTAGTTGTTCTCCATCAGGATCGGCCATGCCCCCGATCTGAACCACAGGACCCACGCCAGGGATTGAGAATTGACGAAGCAAAGTAGACCGCGTGTTTCTGCAGTGCATTTGATCTCGAGATCTGCCTGTTCCTGAGTTGTTCTCGGCGACTTCGTTGGTGAAGGGCGAGCCGATCTCGCAGGTGGCTGGATCCGGAATAGCGCCATGTGTGCTGCAAACAAGGCAAACACCCGATCTGGCAAGCATACAAGACGTCAACAAGGCACAAAACAAGGCACCAAGGCACCGTGTCATCCTCTTCTCGAGTGTCTATCGGTCGGTCATTGTCAGGTCATTCTATCCCGACTCTATTCCAAGAGGACTTCATCCCATCATCGGTCTAGACCATCAATATCATGATGCCATCCCCGTTGCCAACCTCCGAATGCAGCACTAATTGCCTAATCAGGCCATGATCGGTGCTTGGTTTCACATCGTGCATTCTGGATGACGACACCCAAGAGCTCTTCTCGCGCCGCCCTTATCTCGACACCTCACTCGCCAACTCACTATCTCTCCATCCACCAGGTCCTCTTTAGCGAATTCCTTCTCCGACCAACTCGAAACATTCTTTCCCACCCCTGCGAGTCTCCGGATTCCTGCGTCGTTAATTCATCGTCCTAGATTGCCCTGCTGCCGTTTATCCCTAGCGTCTGAGACATCTCCCATGGCAGACAAATCATACCCCATCCCTGGGGACGATTTCTCTCGCTACGGCGGCGCCACTTCGCATCTTCCGAAGCTGGAAGTCGACGACCTTCAACATGCAGGCCCTCCGCCTCCTCCCGGCACCGTCCACAATCCTCCGCCGCCACCGCCGGATGCACCGTGGTATGACCCGCGCGGGTGGTCGCTGCGGACCAGGCTGATTGCCGGCGTCGTGGTGGTCGTGGTCATCGTCGCTGTCATCGTAGGAGCGGTCGAGGGGACCAAAGCAAACCGATACCCGGACTACACGCAATTGGATTACAAGCTGGTCGACACGTACTCGGGGACGTCGTTTCTGGACCGCTTCAATTACTTCTCGGACGAGGACCCGACAAACGGATTTGTCCAGTATGCGCCCTTCCGTCCCGTCTGTGCAACATACACTTCACCCCTCCTGCCCACCATGCTGATAATTACTCACCCAATCTAGGTACGTCGACCAAACGGCCGCCAATGCGCTGAACCTGACGCACGCCACGGACTCGTCCGTCGTCTTGAAGGTCGACACGTCGAATGAATTCGCGGCTAACGGCCGACAGTCTGTGCGACTGGAGTCCAAAACCACCTACGACAGCGGCCTCTTCATTTTCGACATCCTCCACACGCCGTATGGATGCGGGACGTGGCCGGCGCTGTGGCTAACCGATCCCGTCAATTGGCCGACAAACGGCGAGATCGACGTCATGGAGACGAACAACAAGGCGACCGAAGGCAACGCCGTCACCCTGCACACCACCAGCGGCTGCAACATGAAAGTCAAGCGGAAGCAGACCGGCAGCGTGGCGTACAGCACCTGCGACAACAGCACGAATGGGAACGCAGGATGCGGCGTGCAGGGCGAACCAGAGACATCGGGGCAGGCATTCAACGAGAATGGCGGCGGGGTAAGCATTGCCCTCATCTCATCACCACCATAATTTCCCTCCTGCAACTACCCACCCCTCTAACACATCCGCAGATCTACGCTCTAGAACTTCGCAGCGCAGGCATCCGCGCCTGGTTCTTCACCCGCGACACAGTCCCGGACGACATCTCCAACTCCAGCGGGAGTCCAGACCCCTCAACCTGGGGCACCGCGCTGGCCGACTTCCCCAACACGGACTGCGACATATCCTCGCACTTCAGCAACCAGAGCATCGTGGCCAATATCGCTCTCTGCGGGGACTTGGGCGCCCAGCCGCAGTTCTACAAAGACCAGTACCACTGTCCGGGAACGTGCAGTAATTTCGTGGCGCATAATCCAGCGAACTTTACGCAGGCGTATTGGGAGTTTCGGGATTTTAAGGTTTATCAGGCTCAGTAGATTCATACTGTATTGTCGTGGAGTCTTTCTTCTTCGGCGTTTTGGATGGAATGGCGTTTTGCTCGTTTGTTTCCTTTATGATTGCTTTTAGAGATACTTGTAACGAGGGTTTGTATAGCCAGCTTGACTGGCATGATGATTGTAGATCAGATAGAATTGTTCTTTCTGTGACCTACTATTATTAGCTACGGAAGTGTAATACAATTAGATCATGGTTTTTTCCCTTTCTGGTTTGTGAATTCTTTACTCTGAATACCTCTAATCCTTCCAGTTTTCTTTCCCCTACGTATTTGCTCCGTCCCATGACGATTTCATCCTCATGGTCTAGAGCCTTCCATTACTCGAGCAGCTCTACTGTCGTCTCGCATTCCCAACAGTCAATGCAAGGATCCGAAACCCTCGTGACTCACAGCGAGCAAACAATCTCTTGATCCAAGAAGCCAAGTTGAATTTCGAAAACGGTAGGCAGTGCTACCCAACGCTGGCCAGACCCGGACATGCCGAACAACGACGACATCGTACTTCTGTTCGAAGATGGACAAGAGCGACTAGATGTGCAGACGACGGAGAATGGAACGGGTACGGACATATTCCGTCTGCGTATCGGATGTCCCGCTCGGATGCAGGTGGTAATCCCACTCCAGGACGAGGAATGAGCTTCGATCGAGAGACCAATACCTACAGAAAGGGTGGGTGGTGATCTGGTCCGATAGGTCGATGGAATGGCTGGTTGCACTAAAGTATAGGTATTGACTGGACTGCATATGCAGCTATCATGCAAATAAATTCACAAGGTGTGCTTTGGTAAATGAGGGGAAGTAGGTACGGAGGCTTGCATGATGCTGTGGTCCATGTCGACTTCTGTGGGCTTGAGGGCTGTGTGTCTGTTCGCATCTAGACTGATCGGCTTGAAGTTGTAGAGTTGTACAGGGAGGGCAAGGTGCTGGTTACTGGGTGGAATGACCTGTTTCGAGACTGCTTAGGTTTTGTCTTCTGCGTGAGAGTAAGATGAGGAAGAAAAGAACAAGAGAATAACAGTCAAGCGGCCATAGACCCCGCTTGGTTGCGTCGAAGGTTAGCGAGAAAGTTGGAGTGCTGACTTGGCACTTTTAAAAAGCCCGTGACTAGAAAGGACCAGGTGACTTCATAAATATCTCGCCTCACCTCTGTGTCTTCAGCATCAGCCATACCCTCGATGATCTTCCACCATATATACATTCTTCTTACTTTTGTTATATACCAAACCAATAGTGATGCTACCTCCTCATCGCTGAGCAATACGGTCTTTCCTGCATTCCTCTTACCGCGCACACCGAAGCACTGATCACATCTGCGCAGGTCTGCAATACGTTTGGACGCGTCTCAGACTTCTCGACAGCATGAATATCCCTCCTTGAACCTGTGTTCTGGCACTTTCCATTGACCTGGAAAATTTCCCACGCATAAAGCTTTCTTCGGACTATGCAATGCTCTGCACAATACACTGGCTTGTTCCATCTTTGATTCATCGCCTCCTCTTGCTTGATAGATTGCAGAAAAGGCTTGGGATCCTTTGCCTTCCCAATATGTGACAAGACCCGAATCTCTGGTAATAACTACATCCCTCTTTCGTTTATGTTTCACCTCCTGAAATGCCCCTAAGGTCTCATCATAACGCTCATAACCCCTTCCATTTGTCCTCGCGGGATTCTGTCAGTTGACCATGCCCCTGGTAATTTGCCTGTGTTTGCGTTCACTTGTCTGGACAGAGCAAGCAAAAGAAAGGAGTTTGGAGCTTAGAGGGGCTCCACTTCCTTCGCTGATGTCTGGGTTGACTGGGACGGAATGGATCACTGAAACTGCTACATAATCGGTAAGGTTAGCTCTTAACGATACTGGTTTTTGTTGCTTTGGTGATGGCTTTCGCTCTTCATGTCGTGGGAGTTACAAGCTGCTGAAGAGCCAAGTCAGCTGACGATTATGTTTCGTTTCTTACTTGGATTGCTCTTCAGCGCCCTTCGAGAGGTTGGTACTGCTTTATTCTCCCTGCCCTTTGCTTGCTTGACTCCGTTGCACTAGTGTTGATGGAACTGACTGATGCTTTTGATCAGGCGTTCTTTCCATCTACTTTGTTTCGATGGTCAAACACAAATAGACCTGATGAGGATTTCGCGCCTATCACCCACCGAGTTCATCTGCATCACGTCAACCACTTTGCTGACACCGCTAATGCTGTGCTCAATTTGTCCTTACGCGAATAGTCCGGCTACTTTGTCTGTCTTATCCATGCTTGCACGCAATCACTCAATGAAACTGCGAACTTTACAGATTGCCTCCAGCAATAATGTATCTGGGTTGCACTTTACTTCATTATGGGTGTTCCTACGCTGCCTCATCTACAGGCTCATCCGGAAGTTAGCCTGGGGTGAGCTCTGAAGGCTTACCGGCAACGATGTGAGATGATTCTGACCGGTGGTGATATCTCGCTAATATCTGTGAGCAGGAAACTAGCAAAAGGGAAAACGCTCGAGAGACATTCGTTGCATTATGGGGACCCATTCAACGTGTGGAAGATGATAGCTTTTGATAAATCGGGACTCTCCGAAGCGCAGCGCGAGTATTGTTCCTCTTCGTCACTTTTCATTCATCGCTTATACCATGCGAGAAATGTCACATGGCCGATATGCAACTGTCTGACTCGACATACCTCTTCATCAAACACTGGTCTCGGCTTAGCTTGTCGTAATAGGCGACTTTGCCATGTTGTGGGAGTGTGTTGGCATTTTCTTTCGCGCGATGACTCTCTGAGATCCTGGACCAGAGAAGTGTTATACGAAAACATTCTTTGAATACTGGCTCCTGATACCTGGTCTTGGTGATACTTTCAATGACCCCCATCTGTCTGTTGGACCCACTGGTATTGACTTGCCGTTGGCCATACCATCTGCTCAAGTCCATGGTGGAGAATGATTTTCGTCCGGTCTACCAGCCTGTCACCCATCTCGGCCTTGGCTACTGGCAATTTGAATGTCCATGCTCTTAGTCTCAAGGCTGAAGTGCGTTCTGATTATTCCCTTCGGCATGGACAACTTTCGGCTGACGGCATGACATTTCCAACAGTGGTCTAGATGATCGCCGGACTGAACGGCAGTTTTACATCCCCCGAAAAGGGAGTCAAACTGGCCCAACTAATTTCATCATACTGTGGCATTTTTCGACTCAAATCGGGCAATGTGATTGAACTACAATATCATCATGAAGCAACCGAAAAGTCCGATGCTGCTCTTGTGTAAGGTCAAACCACAGCACACGGCTTTTTAACTGAACCTATCAAAGGCGACTTCGGATTCTCGAATGCATCAGAGCTCGTCCACATACTAGCTCCAAACATGGGCGAATGGTTGCATTTTCTCGTCTGACCTAACGATTCTTGGCATAAATATGCGTGAAAACAATGCACATTATCGATGAACCGGTCATCCGGAAAAGGGCCATTGGAAGAGAAGGCAAGACCTCGACTAGGTGTGCTGATTTTGGTAGCATGTGGTCTTTATCACAGCATACCATGTTAAAAGGCTACGACAATGGCGTACATGAGATTTCTACCTTGATTCCTATCCATGGCAGCACTAACAATTTGCAGGCGGGGTCCACATTATCGCTTTTTTGTGGATGTATCAACTGCTGAAATGAACGCCGTGAACCGTCTGGAATGAAGCGCAGATGGAGAGTAGTGTGCACCTTTCGAATGCATCCTAATACCAGTGCTCGCATCATCAAAAAAGTCGATCGAGGCTGCACATTACATTAGGCATGTGTGAGAGGACCTCTCTGGCTGCCCGAGGATGCTTTTTTATATTTATGTGTCATGTCGCCATTGTCCTGCCGGTTATGTTTCTCGAATATGAAGTGACATACTGGGTGCATTGGGCACACCCAAGCCATCGGGAAACTAAAGATGTTGCGCTCAACAGCTTATCACCAGATAGAATCATACAGTGACCATTCATTCCAGCTGCCGTTGGTGGCTTCGGTGAGTTCTTAGTCCCTTGCCTTGATCGACACGCAATACTAATCAGCCACAGCTGTATTTGTTTGCCTTCGATAGGGCGGTCTCTTCCTGCCTGTGCATATTGAGCCTGTGGGTCGAATTTTGGTTTCCGGCTATCCGAGAACTCGTATCGTCTGCTTTGCCTTTCCAGGACTCAGCAGTGGGACGAATGGACTTTTTCGCCTATATGTAAGAAGCACTGAGTCTATTGGATCCTCAACAGTGAGCCCAGGATAGTATGTGACCGCGGCGGTGGAACAGTGAAGTTTCCAGTGCACTTTTCTCAGAATCATCTACATTATGTGGGTCGTGATTGCATAACTGCACTTTTCATGAACAAAGATCGCGCAAGCGAGGCCCACACCTCGATGAGCTCTAGAGAACATTGGGTGCAGTTGCTTTGACCCCGTTTCTTGGATGATATCACCGTGTATCCTCTCAATGTTGAGCTCAGGGCTATCAGGATGATCTGAAGATTATTTGACAGGTTCCTGTGGAGCATTAAACACTCCGCAAAACCCCGTTGCATTAGAGACCCTCTGAGCTTTCGGTTTCATGTCGGTTTCATGAAGAATCGCGTCGCTACGACCACTTCGAAAGACGCCCATTCTTTCGAAGCTGCAACAGGAGAGGATCAATGGCAGAAAGGTCCTGCGGCCTGTGCCCCATGCATGAGATGATGATGGTCTTCTCCACAGTCCTGACTGTTCTGCGACGCAACATTACGCTGTTGAGAATTGTCTCAACTACCTACCTGATGTTGGAAAAACAGAACCACTCAAAATGGCACGCTTGGCAATGAGAATTTACACGGAGAGAAACATGAGTATCCCAAGCCTTGGAATTTAGGAGAAGTCTTGTTGCGGCTCTATCGCACCACCGGTAGTATTGCCGTCATGGATAGAGCAATGGGAGAAATATGATGTGCCTGAGCATTCAGAACTTCATCTGACGCTTTTGATTGGGCGCAGCAGAATCACATCACGACCCAGGCACTTTCTTAATGTTCAAGCCTTATTGACCCAGGGACCTCAGGTGCCTGATCTCGAGTCAAGCGGGAAAGTCCGATTGCAAGCCAAAATGATTTGCTTGGCATGAATTCGTGTGCTCGTTCTTTTTTAAGGACAGCAGGATGATGAGCAGACGAATGCTCATCCCACACAGAAACTCAAAGACCGGGAGTGGATGGCTCACTTGATCGTGACGAGGCAATCGTCGAGCTTATCGTCAGCTATATAGACTAGCCACTCAGCTTCGATTTGATGCGAGGTCATGGACAGGGAGGGTTCATCCTCAAACTCATGCCCGGGTGGGAAAAAGTGAGACAAAAGAAGGCATCATATTGTCGAGAAAACATGCCGTTGACCGCGTTATCATCGGTCCTCAGTTTGGTGTTGCCCGGAATTTGAACTTGGAACCATCGTCACGCCAAACTTCCAAATTCCAACAAGCCTTCGGTTAACAATCGCGCCAAATGACCTCCGCGATTGAAACGCCAAAACAATTCAATCAACAAATCACTGCTGCCAACATAAGGGATTCTACTAGAATAACGAAGGAGTTTCCTGACTTCGCCTTAGCTATCTTTTTAATCAACGCTCATCTTTAGAATAGAGGATGGGCGTTGCCTTCGTCTCTTGTGCGGTTTTAGAAACGCCATGTTTTACGACCATATTATATCCCAGTGCCATCCGTCACCTATTTGAAAATGCCGGTTGGGGTTGACTTCGGAATGACGAGGTCTGTTTTTTTTTTTCTCTGTTCTCTGATATCATGTCTCACCCCACTCTACGATTATACCTATCTTACATTCTGTTACCAATCTCTTATACTATCTTATCCTCTTCTCAGACCTTGTTTGCGCCCGATCGTCCCAGAGCCCTATTGAGTTCGCTATACCCGTCCAGCTACAGCCCGTTATAGTTTTATACTAGCTCGCTGAGCCGTTTCTAGCCCAGTAGGTAGACCTTATGCCGTCTTCAGGTGTCTAATAACTAATAGGACTCTCGAGGCTATCTAGCAACCCTGACCGTTGGGTGTGAGCCCTTATTTTCATTATGGAGAATGATGGTACAGATATTATACTGTGTGAGATTGATTAGAATAAAGATGTTGGTATCTCAGAGCAGATAAAGGTAAGCAGGTCTGTCATATCATTATTCTAAGCGGTGATCGCGGTGCTGAGGACGGATAGCATACTAGGATATAATAACTTCCTGTGTGATTGGCAGAGAACAGCGCCAGGAGTTAAGATTAATTTTCTACCACTTTGATAATAACACCTGGACTCGCTCCTCAGCTTTCGAATCCATATCACCTAGCAGGGGCGGCGTATGGAGAGACATGTCACTGTGAATCTATTTGTCACTCCCAGGCAGCTTACAAGCCTCACCTTGAAAGAGGTAATTCCACTTCATACTAAATTCATTGCACTATGACATACCAAGACAAGCGACGGGCAAGTTAATACGATCCCGCGTCACTGGATATGATCTCGAACACACAATCCTCCGCAACTGGAGTGCCCGTGAAGCGGGCGTGTCAATCTACCACGGAGACCTTGAATTCTATGAATCACAAATTTCCATCAGCCTCTCAATATTGCTGCTAGCGTAAGATCTCTTTAAGTAGTGAGATCGCCACAACAAGGTACGTTAAGGAATCTTCCACAAATATTTCTTGTTCTCACGTCTACAGGACATCAATGTCGCCATCTCATCTGACGTAGTCCAGTGGTCACGCTATCTGGTTTTGTCATGTCACATAAGATTCCCTTGGCTCAAGCTATGGCTCAATATGGCACTGTTCGAAAGGGATTTTGACCTAGAAACGGCTCAAGATGATCATTTATCCCCAGATGCAATCCAGTTGCAGGTCACAATCCAACATACAAGCCTCCGCTGTACGCTGCTATATTGGAACGACAGACCCTCACCACGTTGCGAAGATTACCCCTTGAAATATGCCAGAGGCGAATATCCCTTGCAGAACAATACAGAATACGCCCTGATACGAACCAGAAGCCTCCTCAAAGAAGCCATCGTGTCGCTTGACAGCCGGACTTTAGTTTGTTCCTCAGAACGAATTCTAAATCCAACATCGCGAAAATATGATCAGAGTTGATTTCATCCTGATGACTTGGCCATGACACCGAGTCCCAACGGGATCCTCGATAATGGATGCCCTCTCGAATCCGGACATTGATGATATACCTCCAGACTTGGTGCCGTTTAATATATTCCCATAGTCGACCCTAAAACGTGAAACACAATGGCAAAAAAACACACGACAAAGTATGTGCAACATGTGAATCTATACAGCCTCATTGCCGAGAGCCCGGCGGAATCCCTGGCGCGGTCGTATTTGCCCCAGAGGATGGTTTCTCCGTCGTCAACATGAGAAACGGTAACTGGACAAGAGCACTTCCCGCTTGTCAAAGGATCCCCAAGCCCATTCCTCTCGAAAAGGTCATTATTTGAATAACAGGGGTCGAGGAAATTTGAATATCCCATCAATCCAGACGCCTTTATTTAAGGGGCTGCGAGTCTTGCCTAAGAGAAACCAATAATTGCATGCCCGCTTTTCTTACATTCCATGGACTAGACTATCCCTTGCCCAGGTGACAAGTACAGACAAGACGCCATGACTGCCAGTTAAATGCATGGAAGACACCACGAATGAGCGGAGCTCAAGATGGCGACCCGCACAGTTTCGATAATGTTTTAGGTGTCGTCTCAGATCACATACGTGATGACGGAGACATCTGCTGAACACCATCAAGATCCGTATGTCAGTTTATTGGGTTTGTTAATGATGCGCCTTGCATTTGTTGAGCAGCAGCCCGGGTCTACCTTGACCGCTGCTAGTTCAATCACATCGAGACCACATCCAATATCATTGATGCTTGACGGGTTGACTTAAGGAAGGCCAAGGGAAATGTGCCTGTGACCTTACGGAATTCGGCTGAAGCTACTCGCAGTGTTCAGGCGGCCTAGAGGTCTTGACGTCGATTTCCTTATCCATGGACCCCCTGGTGCAAATTCCAGATAGGAGATTATCCTTTCAGAACGGTCCAACTTGATATATGCAGGCTGGAACCTTGCGATGCGGCTGTTCTTCCTTATAGAGTGCAATGTCAGCTTTTGCAGTCCGATGATACATCACCTCAACAAAATGTGATCATGCCGGACTTGGCCCGAAGAGATTACATCCAGAGTTCCGTGTCACGTCGAATTTCGAATACTTTGACTTCCAATGCTCGCGATGTCCACGTTCAAGAACAAATTTCTTGAGCAGCATACCCGATCAATTCGAGAACAACTTGATAATCAACACGAATGGCCTCATACCTTCTTAAAGACGGACTTTTGATCTGCGACGGTTCGTACTCCATGTCTTTGTCGAAAGCCTATCGAGTCAGTAAACGCGAAACACCTTGACGGCAAACGAAATCACGTCAAAATGCGCGCGCATGCGCGGCTGAACGGTGTTTCGGTCCGTGTCTTTATTGATAGCCTACCATGGGACTGATTGCAAGAGCAATGGCATCGTCTATATGAATAATATCTTCGATGTAAGTCACCCTCCCTTCAAATGGGCGACCGTCTGATCGTAAATTTTATCGTTGAAAACCAAGACACGGGAACGAACAGAGCTGCGCGTGTTATCTCGCCATGCTTAATATCCCCGCAGACGTCTGCAAAAATCCTTCTGACTCGCCTGTGGAATGATGGGAAATTTGAATGGGTATCATTCCCCTCCGGTCTGGAGGCCCGGGTTACGCCATTCGAATTTCTGCAGTCACCGGCCCAAGCTATCCAGATTTTAACCGACCAGATGTCGCGTTCATGACGTATTCTTCAACTATTCTGCTCCAGTCTCAAATAAACATTTACATATGGCGCTGAGCCAGGCCAAGAAAGGCCTTTACATCATCTGTGACACGAAGAAGCTCCTAGCCCCCGGTCGAGATCCCAAGCCGATATAAAGTGTCAGAGACATGCCCAAGTATATCAGTCGCAATCGCTTTTTGATCGGTCCCGAAACACAGGAGCGGGCGGCACCATTGGATTACGAGTGTCAAGCAACCACTGATAATTGGGCTCTTGGTACAAGGACCAGGGACACCGAGCATGGTACCTTCAACGCTCACTCAAATGAGCGGCTATTTGACGCTTCCATAGTCACGACAGGAATGGTGTGATTGCTTTTCCTCTTTTTGGGTTTATTCCAGGTCGTCTCCTATCCACAATTACTCTCATCAATGAGGTATCAACAGAATGGCCTCCTACATGACTTAGTACTTTCCCATGGCATCGGTCGGCCGGTTTATGACGACAACGCATATACCATCAAAGTGTGAAATATGTCCACCTGCGTACTTCAGGGGTCGCAATGGGGGTATACCCCCACTTCTTCAACCCACAAAGCGCAAATTTGTATCTCGAGTCTTCACAATCCGTGGGACAAAATTCTTTGTGCGTGTGGTCCACTACTGTGGACAGGAACTTCTATGGGTATGTCTGTCACACCGCAAGTGCGAGTTCAGCCGGCGATGAAGTGCCAACCGCCAGCCGTATCCAAGTCGGCCTCCCTAGAAATGTATCTGTGCTATGATATGTTGTGGCATGACGAAAAGGCCTTTGTCTATAAGGATTGCCCGGAGACTGTGTGACCAAGACTGGAGGAAGCCGCATGGAAGGTTCCTTTAGCCTGGTAATCCATCGAAGCTTCTACAATAAGGCCCCATCTTTTCCCATTCAATGGAGAGAGCTCGAAGGCAAACCGGTATGTCATGCGGTAATTGGATGGAGAATATACGCAGGTTTCGATCACCAGAATGCATGCTGAAATCTTCGACCTGTTGCATTCTTTCCGCAGAGCGCTATTCGACAGCTTTTCGGTAAGACATATTAGAAACCCTTGAATCACTGCTTTCATGAGTGATGTGTATGAATGCTTTGCTGATTTCGAGTTGCTATTCATCAGGTGATATACCAGCTATTTCTCACGAGTGGAATATGGATAGACCGGACTTCCTGTTCCAACTGTGTCTGGTGGTAGCGGCATTCCCTCGCTAGCTTTCTTATTACGCGCTCTCTACACAAAAGAAATAATGTATATTAGACACGAGAATTGAAAAACGGCCTTGGAGCTATCAGGTCTTGATACAAGTCCATGGTTCATTAGAAAGATACTACTGGTAGAACAGGATTAGGGTCATTATCAAGAAGATGATTTCAGAGTCAAGAAAAGGCATGATGTAACAGATAAGGCTGGACTCAGAGAGCAACTCGCTCGATAGAACTGTTAATGGCGACCAGAATTCATGAATGACTAGCAGACTCTGGAGCGCTTTAGCTTTATAGTAGCTGTGGAATATCAAAAGCTTGATTCCCGTGGGAGTTGTTTTCTAGTAAAAGACTGCTCATAAAGAACTAAATAGGCCTGTAAAACGCTCGACTTTACTATCGCGGTACGGAGAAGGCATTGTGATCGCAACAAGATTACAAGGTATTGGCTAAACGAGAAGGGATACGAGCCACAGGAGGACTTCGAAAAAGAGAACAAAGAAAGAACGCAGGCAGAAAAAGAAAGGAGCACGACAGATGTCAAGGAAGCAATTCTGACGCAAGGACAAAGTATGATCAATCGACAAACTGGCCGGATGACCACCCACTATCCCCTCACCCTCTCATCCCGGGGCGTGCTGAGCAGAAAACGAGCGAACAGCTCGACGGGGGCGTCGGCCTTGGATTCAAAGCTGTACAGCTTTGACTGGCGGATTATCAAATTCTTCCCGTCAAGACAAGCATAAAAGATCCTTGCATGCTGGGGCCCCAGGAACGACAGCATCAGGACTGGGAATCTCTTCTCCATGGGAAAGACACGTTGCTTTTCCGGGAACACGTCCCGTTTCTCATCATAGAGCTTCTCCATTTCCTCTTCATCGGTCACCAGTGGCTGGTTTGCCCTGCTGCGCATTGCGGAGATGAGCGGTGCCAGTTCCCCGTAGAGCATTGAATTCTCATGCCCGTTGTAATTATGAAGCATCGTCATGGTGACGTGAGGGTATTTTGGCTGGCCATCGTCGCCTAGGACTTCGAGTATGAGGTCGTCATTCCAGCCCACGCCAGCTGGAGTTGTGGTGCCGCTAAGGCCCCGAGCACGGAGGAACGGGTTGGGAAAGCTACCATGAGATCGGTCAGTTTCGGTGTTGACAGCTGTTGGGGAGAAGAACTAGGATTTAACATACTTTATTTCACGAAGTCCACAGTATGATAGAAGATCTGGACACCCTCGTGGGAGAGCTCTCCTCACCCCATGCGTGGCCCAGGTGACCACGAGCCCGCAAGAGTCCATGGCAGATGCCTCTACGTCCCAGGCATGCTCTTCGACGAACTCGGGTGTGAGAGAGGCATAATCGTGAAACTCTATAGACTGGAAAAACTCTTCCGAGACTGGATGCATCCGAAGCTTCTCGAGGCTCATGGGCGAGAAAAGGAATGGAGGACTGATACGGCTGTCTTCATGCTCAGGGTCAAAGTTCAAGCGCTGGATTCCATGCAGCAAAAGGTCGTCGTCCTTGACCTGCATCTTGGTTGCAGGGTCTTGTGAGATAGAGATATCGGCATTAGCTACGATCTTCTCCCATAACTCGTTCAGAGTTTCACGCGATTTGTTTTTCGACATCTTGGATTAAATAAAGATTTTGGCAGTGTGATGCTTGGCAATTGCCTTGAGAGTATCTGGAGCTGGAGAAATGCGAGTGCAACGCCTGAAGGTTTGTTGTAGTTACGGGTTCGTCAGTGTTATCTTGCGACGGCAGACTTTCGTTTTACATGGCAATCCGTCATCCATGGATCGGCTTCGGCACCAAATCGCCCAACCAATGCCTGCCGTGAATTCACATGGTGACAAACTCGAAGTTAATCTCCCCTAATAAAAGATCCTAGTTACTCTTATGATTAACCACCTAAGCCTACACAGTTGCTCAAAGGTAAAACAATTACAACCTAGTCACTCCCTGTGATACATTCTCGCTTTGGGTGTTGATTATTACATGCCCCTAGTTAGCAATATCTACATGTCTCCAACTAGGAAATCCCCATCCTTCAATAAACCCAATCTATATTAAGTAAGTACGGCGGCATAATGTATATTTACCGATTCACTGGACTTAGCGTCAAACTATCTAGTACTTATTACATGGCGCCTTGTGATCCTATATGACCTGATGTCCGATGCTCAACCCGTAAATCTTCTGGGAAGGGTTATACTTTATGTAACGGTAATGTGTTGTCAATAGCATCGGGTTATCCTAATCTATTGCTTTTTGTTTCGCGAACGCAGTATGTACCATGGGTAAATTCAATTATTCCAGACTAGATACTATCAGGGAGTTGATTGTCGAAATTGCGCTCACTTAGTCTAACAATCTCAAATAGTCCTGCCCAGCATTATTCTTGGTAAAGTGCTAGTTGATCATATTCCCCTTTATTTCCCTCCATGATTAACTACGTATTGCGAAGTGTTCATGCTTAGAATCAGGCTGAATATGACTAGAGTATCTGGTGAATAGGCTACTTGCCCACCAGGTTGGTGAATATTCTGTCAGGATAGATGATAGACACTGTAGGGTCCATGAAAACCTGCCTATCTTAGACAAGCTATCTTTGCTATCTAGTTTTGCTAGACATAGAAAGTAAGCATTCCAGATCATCCCTCCCTCCATTGCTCACAGCTATACGCGGCATTCCAGAGCATTGGAAAGACGACAATCTTCACCTCAAAGGTATGTGCTCTAAATGGTGACTGTTGTGCCCAGTAAACCCTAACATTGAGCTTTCGGTTCAGCCATGGCGACTCCAGCCCCCAAGGACCAGCTTCCTGTCGATGCAGAAGAATGGAATCACGAAGCAGAGCAAGCTGGAACTACATTGCGCTCGTTGAGATCATGCCGAGAACTCATGTCTGGCTCAAAAGTCACCAAAGAGCAGTATCTACTCTTCCGGGTTATTTGCAAAAGGCCAAGTCGTTCTTTTGAGTCGGGCCGCTTTGGGTTGACTGCCTTGATGCAGCAGGCGGATCCGGTCACAAGCTCCCCGGGATTGCAGAAATATCTCGAGTTTGTTAGCGCCGGGCACCCGTATGGTACAGCCCTGAATCAATGGCAGCAGCATACCCTGTTCAAGGTCGCCTATCGGAACCAACAAGAGCTCATCCATCGAGGCAACAAGGCAATCCATCGAGCGAGCCGGTGGTCAATACCGCCCTAATCACGTTCCTGCCGAGCTTGTGGCCTGGATTAAAGAGCGACCGGACCCCAGTGGTAGTCCCCCAGCCTGGTAAGGATCGTGAATCTGCGTCTGGGATTTGACCGAGCTAATATGAACAGGCGTCCACTCGTCTCTCAGGATGGCGTTGAGCTGTAAATCTCATTGTTTGAATATAATGGGGCTTGGGTCGACTACATTAGTAAGTGTCGAGTGGGCAATGTGGTTCCCGTGCCTGACTCCAGCCTGGCCACCATGCGCACCTACGGACCATGGAAAATCAACAACAGTCGCCATATGGTGCGTTTCGTTCAGATAATTCTGGCAATTATCACAGCCCCGTAGCTCGTGAATATCCAGTTTTTGTAGTTGAGGATTGTGGAAAAGATGCTCGCGCGACGGTTTATGCATACGGGGATGAAAAGGGAGGAGACGCATTTTTGTAGTTAATTTTAAATTGTGTGGTTCGGCTCTTCCGATAGGCCTATCATAATTGATGACAGGAAGTAGTCACATTCTTGTGTACAGCTAAGTATGAGACTGGATGTAATCCGCGGCGGTACGAACTAACCCTGTCAACTAGGGCTTCAGAATTCCAAGAGCAAAGCCACTTACCGCTAGTAATATCACGCTGATCCTCGGTGGGAATATCAATGTTGAATTCCTGGAGTTCATAAATACCAGTGGCGCTTGAGATACTGCTGGGGTCTTACCTCCTCCAATTCACGGAAGATTTGTCTCATTTCCTGGCGAGTTGCGCCAAGGTCCTCCACGAAGTCCGCATTGTCGTGGATCTAACAGTTTAGGTAAGAAGGATAAAATTACAAGCGCGAGCGACATACCCTCTTCTCGTCCAGCTCGAGCAGCTGAGCCACGATGTGGCGGATTCGGTTGATGGTGGAAGACATTGTGAACTGACAAGTATGCAGTATGAGATTGATATGCTTTCTGACTTTTGGTTATGAGCAGCTTGATTGATCCTCAATGATTTCAGGGCGTAAATGCAGTATTTATCTCATTTTGTGTAGTACAAGCATGAATTGGAAAGTGGGAGGTACTGAATTGCGGGTGTAACATGTGGCTGGGTTTCACTGCCTGTGTTTCACTGCCTGGATTTCCAGGACCAGGATCTTTTCCGCGGTGAATACACCGTTTGCATATGTTTTCCGGTTTAACCGCCTTCCCTGTTTTGTACTTAATCCCCTAGGACAAAAGCGTGGCTCTTCTCTCTTGCACAGCTTTCCAGGGACAAAAGGTGACACTGAAGTTAGGGGTCGGAATCCCACGTGATCACCTTGCATCCTCACCACCTGCCATCATGTTTCCCTCCATGCTCCCTCGTCTCCTCATGCATGGCGGATTGAACTCTCTTCGGGGATTCTTTCCAGCCGGCCTTGAGGACTATCCCATCTTCAACTACATCGTCCCGGCTGTCACCGTCTTTGGCACCCTCTGGGCCCTCTGGACTCGGGGCTATTCTTTCATCAAGAGCATCGTGGTCAACGCGTGTATCACCGAGCATGATCAGCTGTACGACGATCTGGTCCGCTGGATGGAAAATAATACCTCATTTACCACCTTCGACGCCAGTGGTGAGTCGCAAGGGGATATGTACCACTTCCAAAGTCTCCGCAGAAGACAGGTCTCCAGGTTCGATGCCCAAGCCTATCCATTCTCCCCCGCTGAGACTGGCATTTTCCCTACCCATCGTTTATCCAATAATGCTGTTTATCTCGCGCCTTCACGGGGATATTGTCTATTTTGGTTCCAGAAGACTCTCATCCACATCAAACTCGTGTACGCGGGACCGAGCCCGACCCCCAAGTCGATCAAAATCCATTGTTTCACGCGTTCGGCGAACGTCCTACGTTCTTTTCTCGAGGAAGTCCGAGCCTTCAGCAAGCATAAATCGACCTCCTACGTCTCGGTCTACCGTCCCGCTCTCGGCCGCGATGTCCCCCGTTGGACCCGCGTCACCTGTCGTCCCGCCCGGGACATTTCTACCGTCATCCTCTCAAACGACAAGAAAGAATCCATCATCAAGGATATCAAGGAGTATCTACACCCTCGCACCTATCAGTGGTACTCGGACCACGGCATCCCCTACCGTCGCGGATACCTCTTCTCCGGACCCCCTGGCACCGGCAAGTCTAGCCTCGCGGGCGCCATCGCAGGCATGTTTGAACTGGATATCTTCGTGCTGGGGCTCAACGATCCGGATATTAGCGAAGGGCATCTTTTCTATCTGCTCTCCAAAGTCCCATCGCACAGTGTCGTGCTGGTCGAAGACGTCGATGTCGCCGGGGTGAGCATGCCCAGGGAGCAGAATCCGGCGAAGGTGTCACCCAAAAAGAAAGATGCGGATGCAACGAAACACCGCTTGGAGCATCAGCCCATCTCACTCTCCGCGTTACTCAATGCCATCGACGGCGTGGCGTCGCACGAGGGCCGCATCCTCATCATGACGACGAATGTTCCGGAGAGTCTGGACCGCGCGCTCATTCGTCCTGGTCGCGTCGATTTGCACGTCAAGTTCGAACTTCCCGGACGCGAGGAGTTCAAGGAGCTGTTCCGCAGTGTGTACACTGGTCTAGAGGAGTTCGAAGAAAAGGAATGTCCCGGTCGGGATCTTGAAGAATTGGGCGTGCGTTTCTCCAAACAGTTGCCTGAGAACCACTTCAGCGTTGCCGACGTGCTGGGGTATCTACTGCAGTACAAGCTGCACCCTGAGCAGGCGTGTGACAACATCGCTGAGTGGGTTGAACAGCAGACCCTGGAGAGCGAAAAAGAAACTCTAGAGAAGGAGGACAATACAGTGTCTTCGACGCAGCCTTCTCTGGAGAAGCAAGAGAGCGATACGAACTATATGCGGACCCGTCCGATTGCTTGTGAGATGGTTAATGGGCTTTCTGAACGTAACGATCGCCTGTTCATGATTACCCGCTGATGACTTGCCTTGGAATCATTTGGTCTTCCTAGGAATAGAGAGCTTTATCTTCTCTCGTGTTGGTGGTTTGTTTTCAAGGCTCAAAAATGCTTTCACATTGAGAACCAATATTGGCATTCCATCATCCTTTGGTCTTCAAATCGATGGAAGCATAAATTACAGTTAATCTTCATACTGAGTCATGCCCAAATAAGTTAGTACTAACTCATGTGATGATACATGAAAGCTTTGTTCTTCTTTTCTTTTCTCAATGTAAATTGAAGCCAAACGAAGCAACATTTAAATTCGAATCCAAAATAATAAAAGGCTTCATTTTGCTCAGTTGATACCATCCACAATATTAAAACAAGTACTTCCACCCTTATTATCTCACCTCCTCAAACCCAAACCTGTACATCTAGGCAGTCGAAGACGGCGCCGCCCCGGACACAGAACCCGAAGGGACACCGGAAGGCACACCAGACGGGGCACCATCACCACCACCACCTCCCATGAATCCCGAGTCCTCATTCTGATGACCGCCATTCTCATCATAATACGCCGCAATGCTGTAGTAGCTGTTATCGGTATAATCTGCGGTGGTATTGATACCAATCTGGATCCACGCAAACAACCCATCGGACAACCCATCGCCCAGATAAATATACTCCGGGAACGGGTCATACGCGGAGCTGGCCTGCTCGACGCTCCACATGTCCTCCGCGTTGGAAGTGATGTCCTGGCTGTTCGTGTTGTAGGGGTATGTGTCTTCGACGGCGGAGCGGAGGACCTCGTTCCAGAAGAGTTGGCCGATGTGTGCGACGCTGCCGGTGCCCACGACGAGGGTCTGGTTGTTGGGGTGCAGGGTGGCGTTCAGGTGTGTCAGGAGGTGGGTGTGCGTGGCGCGGCCGTCGTAGTGGCCGGGGAAGATCGTCGAGAAGGTCACGACGCCGTCGGAGTCGGTCTGTTGGATGCCGCGCAGGAAGGTCGAGTCCCAGCCGTCGGCGGCGTAGTTGCCGGAGGTGGAGATTCCGCTGGAGGAGTGAGGTGGTTAGTATGGCTCTTGGGATCTGGTGATGTCTGGAAAGCGAGGGGAGGCTGAATACCTGTACACGCCGGTGGCGTTGGCCTGCCAGATATCGACGATGGCGCCAGGGACAGGGCGGCAGGTGTTCACGTCGATGTACTGCACCTCGATGAAGCTGTCCACACCGTCGGAGTACTTCTCCTCGCGGACGTCCTGGCGCATCACTTCACCCCAGACATAGTAGGGGCCGTCGGTGATGGTCGGGGACAGGATAGCGCTCGTGTTGGCACCGAAGATGACGGATTCGGGCGTGTTGGGAGAAAGGTCAAGCAGTCCGGTGCGGTTGTGGTTGATGGCTTCCCACTCCTCGAGAGCAGCGAGATCACGGCGCCATTTCTGGGGGTCTGGAACTGTCAGTTGCTGTGGTCTGGTAGGACAGAGAGGGGAAAGAGGAGAGGGAAGGGAACGTACTGGCAGTGATTCCTCTGGCCTGACGCAGCTCTCGCGCAGTACGAGCACGACGGGCAATATTCCGCTGCTGCAGCTGCTGTGCGTGAGCGGTGGTCGAACAGGCGTCCAGAGCGCGTTTGGATCTGGCGGCATGGACGTCCCGAGCGCGGATCTCCCGTTTGACGACCTCGGGATCGTGCTTTTCGCCCGGGTGAGCGACAGCCAGGGTGGCCGCAGTGAGGGTCAGGAATTTAGAGAAATGCATGGCTACTAACTCGTCCTGCTCTGGCTCTGGGTGTTTGTTGGCCTTGGTTCAACGATCCTGCCATCGTCTTCCCCTTTATATATTCTTCAAACTGACTCGATAGCACCCCGTTATCCCGACAAGGCTACTAGTACAGCACCTTGTTTAGGTAACTCCACCGACTACCCCATATCCACAAAAGTACTCAGTAACAGAGAGATAGAACAAAAACCACAGAAAACAGAAGAATCAAGGAACACGAAAATAAACCTAAAAGCCGCGTCATTCTCCGTCTCACCTCCGACTGGGCAGACACAGGTATCCCACTCCCCACTCCACACAATCCCTGTCCAAAGCCACTACACTACCCACGATGCTGCGTAATCCGTCCCAGCCGACAAGGCACCCGTCAAACACCACCGAAATCCACCATAATTCTGCACGCTTGCACAACCCAGCCAAGCCGACTAGCCAGCTAGCAGCATAGCCAAACCGAACGGGTTCTTGGCACCGCGTACGTGGGATCCGCATCCGCCGTCAGAAACCAGAAGCGATCGACCGACTCCACCAATGAAAAACCCGCGGTTGCTGATTACGGTGGATTCCCGAATACAAAATGCGCGCTAGAGACGGCTTGTTTCAGTTTATTTTTGCTTCGCTTTCGTTTGCGTCGCCTTGTGCCTGGGCTGTTATTCTCTTGATTAGATGACGGGAGATGCGTAGGGCTAGGGGGGCACGTGTCCACGTACGTAGAAAGGCTTGGCGGGGAGATGGCGAGTCTAGACTGAGGACTAGTATTCGGAGGAGAGGTTTCCGTGGAAGATGGCCAATTGGATGGTACTGATTAATTGGCATAGATGGTGTAATTGGGTAGGTGTGAGTGCAGACGTGGATGAGGCGATTGATATAGATTAAGCTGCCTGTCTTGTAAGCTAAATTAGAGTAGAGTCAACTGCCACGCCTTGGAATCTAGCCGGAGATTGGAAATCCAGTCGGATAGAAGAGGAGGGGGGTTTAAGAAGATGAAAAAATGAAAGGTAAGGAAGGAAAAAGAACAAGAAGACTGCGGTTCAAAGAAGAAAGACTGGCGGAAGAAGGACAGCTACTGGACAAACATTAGCAAATACTGCCTCAAAGTCTCCCGCGTCCTTCCTGAGATTTCGATCAACCTGCCTGCTTGAACCCATGATATTTGTCATGAACGGCATTGTAAAACGCCCATCCCTAAGACGCAGTCATAACTATTATACATTTTCATTCAAAAAAGACAGAAAAGTCGAGATCGAAAATTCTGTACACTTCAAAGATTGCGTACAAGGGAATTTGCAGATTTCAATCAATCTTAATGACGAAACCGGCAATGTTGGCCTAAAGCAGGAACTTATTCTGCCAAACGTCGCGCCCAGATTGCGTCCAGCTGTGTGACGATGACAGACGCATGTTGAAGAATAAATGGCGCATATCGATCTTCCCCAACACCAGAATGAGGACAAACTGTCTTAAGCACGCGATCATTTTGGCGCGCGATCAGAAGGCGATTTCGCACCCACACTGTCTCTATCTATTTCAAAGCCTGGGCCATGGGATGCCGACCGAGTCTACCTTCCCGATTTCACAGTTTGCACGACGTTTCTGGGCTTACGCGGATTTAGTAAGCTGGGCTATCCAAAATTCACCACCAACACTGGCGGCACCCACTAACAGTCTTTCAGCGTGCCAAGTCCGTTCCTTCTAGGTGGCAGCATCGGCTGTGGAGCTACATGTGTACAGGTTACCCTTGAGGCCGCTTGGGAAAACGGCCATCCCAGTCATCCTCACGTCACGATGATGATATATCGGAGATTTAATGGCCCAGAGGGATCCATGCTCCATAGTGAGTTAGTGCCGATTATTTCCGCCATGCGGAGCCGAGCCTACCAACCTAAAGTCAAGGAGCATGAAATGGACGATTTATTCGAAGGCAAACCATTTGCAGACAAACCTCGTGTCTTCCCGAAGGAAAAGCGATTCCCAGTACTGCTTCTCTCCTTCGTTGGCCCGCAACATGCCAGGATTTTCTACGCCTATGTCGAAGACGGCAATAAGTTGATTATTCGTCAAAGACTGGCCGATGCACCGGTTGAGCTGTTCGCCCGCTTTCCGGTTGGTAGGCCTTCATTTTAATTGGAGCTCGTGCAATAATGGCACGTCTCTGGTACGTAGTTGAGGATGGAAATTGGATATCCTTCCTGGCGAACAATGGGGGAATTTTTCGTCTAGCGAATAGCCAGGTGACTCTAACAGCGGAAAATTCAGCTTTATCCTCATCTTGGACTGTCATCTACTGTTACATGAGCATATAGTCCTTCGGCACTGAGTCTCGAGCGATGCCCTTGTACCTCAAAATGCCCTTGGAGACTAGTAAACTTACAATGGAGTCAAACCGAAGCATCCTTTGTGTTTTCTGCTTTGTTATTATGTCAATAGTTTACATTCGACTACCGTACGTTATAGCTTTGGTAAAGAGCTTTGTATAGCGTCAGCTCGCTGATTCTGGCTTCCCGACGTGCTAATCATCGGAGTAATGTTCTGAGTACCGTGAACTGGTAAGACAACGCTGCTCCTTTTATCTCATCGTGAGATCTGTCGTTTCAAAAAGATTCAGACTTACCGAGTATCAAGATCAATGTAGCCGACCGATCAACCAGTGAAAATTTCCCCTTCGCTTCACTACTAAAGCAATTCTTTTCGGTGTTTGGTTCTGCTGGTCGAAGCCGCCGAGTGCCCCTGGGACACTTTGTCCGTTTGGTGGTGGCTTAGGAAGGTGTTTGGCCTGTGGTGTCGATCTGGGTCATAGAATCAGTACCCGCTCTGGCTCATGGCATTAAACCGACTATCGCCAGCTCCCCCGAGATTGACAGGAGACGATTTCAATGAACAATATAGACAGCTCTCCTGGAGTTTGCATCATCACAAATCTTTTCGAGACGCCATGTGGTTGTTAAAAAAGATCGATCGATATCACTGCGACGAAAGGAGTGGGAGCTTTAGCACAGACAGCGTGGCTCCCAACGCTGGAATACTAGAATGTTCTGCCGGCATTGTATACTGCCTAGCTGCCTATGTGGCTTTCAAGGCAGCCAACAATCGAGCCGTCAAAAAGCAAGTATGTGGACCAAATGAACAGCTTAGACAAAGCTTCGAGCAAGGCGACTAGCTTTTTCATTCTATGTGAGTCAAAGAGTTGCGCCAAACTCTTAATCCTCGCGGCTGATTCCACTCCCTTTAACCGGCTGAAATTAGCAATCAAATACACTTGGATGTTCTCGCCATCACACCTCTTGCACAAGACTTTATCAATAACCCAAGAAAGTAATATCAATTGCTTTATCTGGTTGTATTCATAGCTTTCACAGCAGTCTCTGCGTCCTGTTTGTGACCATAAGAAATTCTTGCACTTAAGAGGCCATCATTATCGGGATCTGCTATCGTCTAAGACACACAAGCGTTAGATTAGGCGTTTGAGGCCTCTTCCACTGTGGTTAGGGGATCTTACCAGAGATTCTATGTGGCCATATCTCTTGGATCCAACGTCCAGAGTGATGGCAAGGTGATGAACCTCTCGAATGGCATAACTCTAGAGTATCCTGCATTGAATTCGATGCCCCAGGATCACTCGGCGACTCCCTGTTTTTGGCTGGAATACAGGCCCGTCATACTGGAGAGAAAAATACTATTTGCATCATTATACCCACCGATGCAAATCAGCACTTGTCAGAAGCATTGAATCCCAGAAAGAGATGACTGTGGAGACCGCACAGAAATAGTGGGGCCAGATAAGATAGCGATCTTCGCTTCTTATGTGATTGGTCCGTACCTTTTGCCCGCAGGAATCTTCTGGGGCTTGGCGTGATCAGTATCACTAACTGATGCAATTCCCTGATAGGGCGGGATTCTCAAGAATGATCTTCGAATAAGCAAAGGCTCTTGCTGATGCGTATTTCGAGTCATGTCAAGCTTTTCTCCTTCATTGAATATCTATATTGACACAAGCCATATAACAGTCCTCAATATGCACCTATATATTTCCCACGGGAAGGCATTGAGAAAGCTTGTTTAAACTACCCGACTTCCAACCTAAACAAACGGTGATGGAATCATCATGTATTTCCCCATATCTGACACGTCTAGTATCTGGGATACCTATTCACTCCTTCAAATAAAGCCCCTCCTCAGGCGGTGGCACACCATACCAATCCAACCCCAACTTATCCTCTGGATCTGGATCCGGCATCTGATAATACCCATCATATCTCCACCACGTCCGATCGTCCCAAACGTCCTCCACAGGCAGAACACCCTCTTGTTTCATCCGATCCCTCACCCTCTCCACACCCCTCCAGACCCTTAGCAGATTTTCACCAACAACCTTCCCCAACTGCTCCTCCGTCGCTCCCCGATCCAGAATCCGCTCCAGCAGTCTCGGATAGCACTTGACATCCTCCAACCCTGTGATCACCGACGCAATGCCGTCAAAGTCTGAGCCAAGACCGACATGGTCCCAGCCGATCCGGTTCGCGATGTAAAACAGATGGTCAAGGACCATGTCCAGAGTAGCGTCTTTGCGACGATGTGCTACATGCTCCGGGACGAATGTCACCATTATGATGCCACCATTAGTGCGAATTAGGTCCAGGATGTCGTCGGGGATGTTACGTGGGCAGTTGAAGACTGATTTTGCGTTCGAGTGCGAGAACATCACTGGGGCACGGGTTAGTGAGAGGACCTGTCGTGCGCAGGGCTCGGAGACATGTGAGCAATCGATTATCATTCCTGCAGGGTTTTGACCTTAGCATTGTTCAGAATGGATACATTGATATAGCTTTGTTTAGACCGGAGATGAGATACCTAGTCGGTTCATTTCAACCACTGCTGATCGTCCGAGTTGGGACAGACCGCCATGGACAGGTCCGACTTTAGATGTCGAGCTATCTGCGAAGACATTATTACAGACGTGGGTTAAGGTACACTTCGAAATGAAGTTAGCTGAGTGTAATTAGAAAAGCTGATCAGAAGAAAACTCACATATCGCACACCCAGTCGATAGAATGCCCGAATAATGCCGATACTGTTACCAGCCATATGAAGTCTACATCGCCCGGAAACCGTCAGCACTTTGCACCTCACCAACCCCGACCAAACACACAACCTAGGAAGAGAAACATACCCCTCGATCCCAATCGAACACGCAATCCTCCCCTCCTCATAAACACGCTTCACATCATCCGGTCCCTCCACCAGGGCAAAAACTTCCGGATACGATTCCACCAACCGCAGTGTCAAATCAATCTGCTCGATCGCATCACGCGCCATATCCGAGTACTCGGGAGTTGAGAAGTTTTCCGCCGACCTGAGACACGGCACGCACACGGACCAGAACTGACCACCAACGGCACCTGAGACATTTAGTTGACTATTGTCCGGGAGGCGTGAAAGCCTGTTTCGACGACAATAACGTACCTTCACGAAGACGTGGGATGTCGGTCATGCCACGCTGGAAGCCCTTCTCGAAGTCGAATTTGGGGTTGTTGTGGATTTTGCCATGGAAGATCGCTCGAGGCTGTTGGGGGAGGTCATTGTGTCCGTCTATCAGGGGAGTGGTTAGGAGGACGCGTTTGACGCGGTCGTCGATGGGGAGGGCTTGGTAGGGGTGCGTTGACATGGTGAGCTTCTTGTGCAGTATTGGCTTGGGTAGGCTGAGTGGGTTCAGATAGCTGGTGCGGCTTTATAAAGTGCTACATGTTGGTGATGCAGACACTCGGACTGACTCGAACTATCATTTGACTGGTCAAGATTTCCGCCGGGTGTTCAGGCTCCCGCTGATAAGAACAACCGACGGAAAACAATGCATGCGGGGTGCATATCAAGATAGACAAGATAATGAACTTGGCCCCCATGATAGCAACCGGTCCAATCACAGCCCTGGAATCCTCTTTTAAGAAAACACTATATTAATCGCAATGATCGCCCGTGCAGGTACGGATACATGACATGCCCCATCGGCTAGTTTTACTATCCCTTGTGGCGAAAATGTCTACTGAGGATGCGTTCAAGATGACCAAGAAGCCGATTGATAGGGACGAGTCTAAGGCTCTCGATGTTCTGCGTGAAGGGGAGATCGAAAATGTCAACGGTAGGAAGCTTCTTTGGAAGCTCGACCTATACCTGCTACCACTGCTGTGCATCACGTACGCCCTGCAGTCAATTGACAAGACTACTTTGTCATATGCCGCGGTGTTTGGTCTTGAGGATGATCTCCATCTCAAGGGAACTGAGTACTCATGGCTCGGGGCAATCTTCTATCTGGGTTACTTGGTGTGGGAGTTTCCAACCAATGTCATGCTTCAGAAGTTCCCAATCAATCATTTTATGTCAGCAACAGTACGTGGCTCATATATCGTTTCACCTACTCAAAGTATCGTTTCAAGAAAATGCTGACCGGAATTTCCCAGGGAATTATATGGGGTATCGTCCTCATGTGCCATGGTGCAGCCACCAACTTCGGCGGCGAAGCAGCAGCCCGCTTCTTCCTCGGTGTCTTTGAAGCCTCCATCAACCCGGGCACAATGCTATTGTTCTCAATGTACTACGAACGCCACGAGCAGCCTCTCCGAATGGGCATCTGGATCGGCTCTGCAGGCTTAGGATACGTGATCGCAGGTATTGCAAGCTTCGGAATTGGACATATCGAGTCGGCGATTGCAAGCTGGCGATTACTTTACATCATATGGGGAGCCATCACGACAGCCTGGGGACTGGTATTGCTGACCTTTCTTCCTGGGTCGCCGCTTACTGCAAAGTTTCTGACTGAGGATGAGAGAGCCTTGGTTGTGGAACGAATCAAGGGGAACGGGACCGGTCTGGATAATCGAAAGTTCAAATGGTCGCAGTTCTTCGAGGCGATGCTGGATTTAAAGACTTGGTTATTGTTTCTGTTTGCGGTTACGAGCAACTCGCCGAACGGGGGTCTTACTTCGGTATGTTCGACTTGCATTTCATGTCTGATCATTGCGGATGACATTAACATTAATACAGTTCCAAGGCCTCATTATCAAAGGAATGGGCTTCTCGACCTTGAAGACAACTCTTATCCAAATGCCGTCTGGTGGCGTACAGCTCATTATTTGCCCATTGGCTTGGTATGTAGCCCTTTTCGAACAGCTCTCCGTTTTGATACTTTACACAAAGCCCGGCTCACAAAATTAACTATCTATCACAGCTTCTTCGCCTCACATTACCCCAACGCCCGCATCCCCACAATGCTCCTCTGCATAATCCCCTTCCTAGTCGGCGTCCTAGGCCTCTGGCTCATTGACGAATCAAAGCCATACGGCAGACTAATTTGCCTTTGGATATCCTTCACGTACGTGGCGGCATGGACGCTATCCATGTCCGTGGCAACGGCCAACACAGCCGGACACACGAAGAAGATCACAACAAACGCAATGCTGCTGATTGGGTACTGTTTGGGTAACTTCGTCGGGCCGTTCTTCTTCAAGGCTGAGCAGGCGCCGGACTATCGGTTGGGAGCGGGGATGATGTTCTTCTGTATTGCGGTGCAGGTGGTTTGTTTATTTAGTATTTGGGGGTTGTTGTGGTGGAGGAATCGGAGTCGGATTGGTGTTATGGAAGGCGGGATGGAGGGAAGTAGGAGAGATGATCTGCCTGAAGAGAGAGGCCTGATGGATGAGACTGATATGGAGAATAAGAGCTTCAAGGTGAGTTTTCCTTTCTCGTCATTCTTGACATGGTGGTGATTACTCGCGGGATGGATTACTGACCTGCTTCTTTAGTATGTTTATTAACAGCATAGTTACATCACGCGAGAGAGTTTAGTGGGTAGAAGCATTTAATGGATTGAATATTAATGATGGCTGGGACTCTCGATATAGTAGATGTTTCACATCTGCAAAACATGGCCATGATTATAAAATTCATGCAATCCTTCAAAATTCAATATGAATTTGAAAGCCGCCTACGGCGGCAAATTCCAAATAAAGTCCAAATCCAAATATGCAGAGTCCAATCCATCCAGCTGCCCGGTTTCATCCCAAGCCCCAAATGGCGCCATCAGTGGGTCTAGTGGCAATGACAACCAATCATCGGAGAATATCGAGTCAGGCAGCCCCATGTCTTGATCCCACGAATCAGTCGCCTGAGGCAATTCACCTCCAGGGTCCTCTTCTCTCTGTTCTTCCTGCGACTGCATGTTGGGTATATTATTACCCGACATACTGAACGTCTGGCGGACACGAGAAACATGGATTTGCAGGAGAGCGGCATATCGCGAGACAAGGTGTATATCGTCGGGACAGTCCGACTGTATCGTATCGATTGCTTTATCAAGGAGATTCAAAGCGTCCCTGAGTGCCGCTGCACGGGTGCCAAGGCTTAGAGCCTTGAGAAGAAAGATTGAGCAGCTGATGACGCGCAGGAAGATGCGGTTGGGAAGATATCGGATTGCTTGTTCGGTTGAACGAAGGACTATGTGATCGAGGATCGCACATGAGCCTTCGACAACCTCTGTTAGGAATAGGCAGTCTTTGGCTTCCACAGTATTGGCCTGTGATGGCAGGTCGGACTGTGGGACGTTTTCCTCGACAAAAGACTGCATTTCAATGGAGTTGATGAATACACGAAGGTATTCGGTTTCAATGTACAGAATATCATCAAATGGTCTATCTATTACTTGTTAGAAAGGGAAAGTCATTGGAGATATCATGAGCCTTACTATGACAACAGGATCCCTTAGTTAACCATTTAGACAGCACGGTTCGCCATTTGCCCAGCGATGCGGTGGTGTTCCACCTTTGTGATCTCTCATCATTCCTAAGCGGAGGAAAGTATTGTTCTGTAATCTCTTTCGTAATCCTAGTCAGCTCAACCCAGGAGGTCATGAAACACACCCAATCTCGATCCTCTCCCACCATTGAGGAAACGCCCGGAGTCGCTGGTAGAAGTGACGGGCACCCGATCCTTGCCGCAATGAGATTCACCAAAACAAATAATAACAACGGGAGGCGTCGGCGTCTACTGTCAAGCAATTCCACATACGCATCTGTCTCAGAGCTCGCGGCTACGCTGTCCGCTTTAAGTGTCTGAACACCCTGTCCAAACACACCCAGCTCATGCGCCAAGGCCAACGCATTACTAACCAGCATCCACGACATTCGGTCCGATCGTTTCGTTGGCTCAACAACATCCTCCTTCCAACGATTGGACATTGGCAGATCATCATCAGTGACGGGAGGGTCTCTCCAGTCCGGAGCCAACAAAGCTAAATCCGAGTCCCAGCCATCGGTTTCTGGAGGGAAGTGAAGCGCTCGTGGATACCATTCCAATATAAGGAGTAGGGCTTCGATAGATGACAGATGCCTTGTTTTGGCCTTTGAGGTTTTTTCCTGGCCGAGAGTTATGCGCAGTATAAGGTGCTGGCAATGCTGCCACAGCCGAGTGTGGATGAAGTATCCTCGTGAGGTACCGCCAGCTCCAGGGAGGATGTGGTAGCGGGATGAGATCATCAAGATTGTGCAGCATAGCATTGGCTCTTGTGTAACAAGCCAGTAATGACTTTGGGGGGTTTCGTAAAATGAAGAAATAATTGGAGACAGGGGTGCCATATTTTTGAAGAATCTAGAGGAATTAGCTCCGGAGTTTCCAGGCAATGATGTACGCACAAGTCCACCAGCGTGAATGCTTCGAAGGCGCTAAACCAGCCCATTTTAACGAATCGACAAGCATCCCAGACTCGCAAGACATCCGCGTGTGGCAAACAGTGCGGGCGGCTAAAAGCCATATGAATCCCCTGAGTAGCGGGATGCCTAGTGTCTCCATGACCTATTGTTGCCGACCCAGCTTCTCCAGCAGCGGCCCGGAAGAGAATTCCCAGTGCATCGTTACTACTCGAGACCATTCGATTGAGCCCTGTCAACAGTGCGCCATGCCCATTTCCCTCGATACAGGTTCCTGAAGAGATAAGCTTCGCAAGTTCAGTGCGCTGGGTCAGAATCACACACCTTGCGTTGACTGTTCTCCAGGTGAAGGATCTGATATTTGAGATGCATCCCCAACGGCATTATCCGATCGTTCTTCTACCACTAAGAGCCATTAGTATCCCATACTTGGTGAGGATATTATGTATTAACCTCCACCCTCTCTAGCCCATGGTGTCCTATCATCAAAGCGACATTCCAACTCGAATTTCGCGCAACGGCAGCATGGCTGATGCGCTTGGTCGCCCGGTTGACACTTCACTTTGCGTCGTCGACATGGAACGCAGGCCTTGTATGTGCGCTGGTACTCATATTCAATGACTGCGCGACTCCTAGGAGGACGATTGCGGCGAGTCCTAGACGTTGTAGGGGTTGGCATGTTGAAGATGTGTCGTTGAGGCGAAAAGCGGAGAAGTGGGGAAAAGCCTCGGATGCGGGGAACTGCCGAAGCCCTAATTGACTGGATCGGGACGGTGGTTTTTATAGTGATTACACTGTTTAAGATAACTACTGATAACCACTGGATAAACAGACAAAGAAAGAATGGCAAGGAGGAGTCTTTAGTTGGAGAATGATACGGTTAACGCTATTTGGTAAGCCGAACGCTCGGCAAATCCAGCCCAATTCCACATACTACGGATATATTTAACCGGCGTGATGGGCAAGAATCCACCACTGACAATCAAGTAAGGTAACGGAACTGAGGGTTGTTGTCGCCATCACGAGTAACATCCACACGAACATGCTCATCCACTGTTCCATAGACCCGGTCTCGGCGTTTATTCTCATGATCCAACTTCGCAAAAAGACCAAGCGCCATGACGGCAATAAAACCAGTCAATGCACATCCAATCGCACATCCGCGGACGTAAAACGGCCTAATACTGCGTTCAGCCTGATTTAAGATACCTCATTGAAGACTAACGAACTCACCCCTCAGAATCTGGAAAGGCAGAACTGCTCACGAAGCTCGAACATTGTCCGAAAATAAGCAGAATAGCCAGGCCGGCACCTTTCTTGGAATCACCTCCCTGATTATTCGCCAGCCAGGTGACATTAATAACAAGCGCTGGGAACACCCCACATGTGGCCAACCACACACCGAGATACCTAACCCCCGACTTCTTTTCATCTTGCACCGCAGCGAGAATCAGATATCCGATCGTGCCGACCGTGGCACTGATCGCGATAACCAGTCCTCTTCTTCCCCACTTATCAGAAATCACGGCCGCCGTGATACATAGCAGGAAAGAAACAAAGTAAGGTGGAGCGGAAAGTCCTTGCGCGTTGATTGATGTGTATCCCATCTCCTGGATGATCGTGGGCAGGAAATTGGATAGGCCTGCGAAGGAATAGTTGCAGCAGAAATGTATTAGCATGTGCACGTAGTTTTTGTAATCTTTCAGGCCATTCAACACTTGATGCCAGTCCATGCGAGACTTTCCTGTATTATCGACGGTCTGGAGGCGCTCGACTGCTTGCGTTTGTTCATTTTCTGTGAGGAATTTCGCGGTGCCAGGGGAGTCTGGGAGGAAGAAGAAAATGATCACGGCAAATAAAACTGTCGGGGCTCCTTCTGCAAGTCCCGAAAGGGTCAGCAAAGGATTTGAGAAAAAGGAAAAAAGAATAAGACGCGAGAGAATCAGACCGATAATGAATAAGTACCTCCATGACTCAATCGAATGGCGAATCTGCGTGATGCCATACGCAAGCGCACCCGCAATGCAATTGGCAACGGGTGACATTCCCAATAAAAGCGACATACGGAAGCCGAGCTCCTGGCGCTGATAAAATAACGACAGGAAGTAGGGAGCTCCAGCGCCAAATACAGCCTCAAAGACGCCCAAGAAACAGCGGCAGACGACTAGCTCGGCCATGTTATTGACAGCGCCGCTGCACATTGCGGCCGCACCCCAGCTAAACTCTAGTAAGTTATGGCCGTCCTATTAGAGAGAGAAGCTCACAATATGCAAAGAACAGCTACATACATGTGAGCTGGAAAGATCTTCCATAGCACGGTTGTCCACTCAAACATAATGTAGCAAATGTAGAACGAGTAGAGAACCCAGGCCCATTGCTTATCATTCAATCCGAGGTCGGTGTCAAGGCCAGCTGTTTTGGCGTTTCCAATGTTCCCTAACCCGTCGATGTCAGTAAGTTTGTACGTTAGAAATGCGGTCTTCACTGGCCAGACTATACCTCTATCGAGGTACGAGAGAACGTAGAGAATACACACGAGAGGCAGAACGTGTCGATCAAACTGTGGTTCGATATTATCTGCCTGTTCAGAGAAGATGATTTCTGCAACCCACCTTCCGACGAATGGAGGCCTGGTCCTGTGCCGGAACCCGACTAACCACCTGTCCTTTTTCCATCTCGTGGAACTGAACGTGCTCCAGATGATGAGAGTCGATTTCCTTTGGCTCATTCATGATGATGAGAGTGTCTCACGAAGCGTCCACGAACAAAAAGTCAAATTGGTTTGCGTTGTACAAATCCACAAGTTGCAGAGTCCTCAACTCATCAAGCCTTTTATACCCCCACCTACGTAGCCAAGTCGCACTCCCCCTCCGCTACGAATGAGGTATCGCCGATTATCCACCCAACGGAACCGGCTACTTGCTTCCCCGCATTTGACGCAGATCCCCCGGGGTCGAGATGCCACCGGAAACGAACGTCGACGATGTTTGCTGTCGAGAAGGCTTGGCGCTGCGGGTGTTTTGCATCGCGGAAAATTGGCAACATCCGCGCATGCAAATACCCGCAACAGTAGACCAGGTCTCAGGACCACCGACAATGGCTATTTAAGCCACTGAGTCTCGTCTTCTAGCCACTCCCATCTCTATCTCTCATTGCACAGCATTCTTTGCTTCGTTCAACTTTCCACCGTCCAGAACACCTCATCCACGCCCACACCATGTCTGAATCACTCAAGACCACAACCCCCTACCCCTTCCAATTCTCCTCCAACGTCCAAGTCGAAGCACAAACCAATGGGCAAGCGACCGACATCAACGTGTCACTCAAGAACGTTCGAGGCCGAATCCCCTCCGCCCAAGCATCCCGGCTCCGCACCATGATGCTCGAAGCCCACGGGGATCCGTCCAAGATCGTCGCCCACACATGCACCTACGACGGGCTGTCCTCGCGATTAGTCGAGGAGGCCGGCTTCCCCATCGTATTCCTCGCCGGGTACGCGTTGGCCAGCTCCTACGGGCTGCCAGACACAGGATACATCGCCAAGGCGGAAGTGTGCAGCAAGATCCAGGAGGCAGTGCGCATGACAAGCCTGCCTGTGCTAGCCGACGGGGACACCGGATACGGCAGCCCTATGAATGTAAAAAATACCGTGGAGTCCTTTGCATTGGCCGGCGCAGCCGGGGTGATGATTGAGGACCAGACGTGGCCGAAGCGTAAGGCCTGATGCTGCGCGAACCAGGTATAGACTAGATTGGCTGACCAACCTGCAGGATGCGGTCACACCAAGGGGAAATCGGTAGTCTCTCGTGGCGAGGCCTACGCCCGACTGCAGGCCGCCGTGGATGCGCGAAACCAGGGACGCGACATCTTCATCCTGGCGCGCACGGACTCTTTGATTCACGGCTGGGAGGAGGCGATGACGCGCGCGAAGGAGTTCAAGAGAATTGGCGTTGACGCGGTGTTCGTCGAGGCGCTGCCCGATCGGGCGTCGATGAAACGATGCGCTGAAGAACTCGACTTTCCCGTATTTGCGAACATCATCGAAGGCGGGAAGACCGAGAATGTATCGGCTCAGGAATTAGCGCAACTTGGATACTCAGCGGTGGCGTACCCGTGGACTCTGGTGGCCGCCAAACTGAAGAGTATCCGGGAAGCGCTGGAAGGGCTGAAACGGAGTATGACAACCGGGGCGCCACCCATGATATTGGGGTACGATGAGGTCTGTGAGGGAGTTGGCTTTAACAAGTATTGGGTAAGTAATACCTCTGTCGCTGGCTTCTTAGAATGGTTGCTGATATAGTTTAGAGCGAGGAAGGAAGATACGAGTATAATGAGAATGGTCTCATTCATAGCCAGAACGGTAGTTTGTAGTGACTGCAAAGCTGACTTATGGCATTCAATGGTGTGTTGTTGAGGGAGTCTCGAGGGATTTGATTACACTATATATAGAGACGTATTTATTTGCAAGAAAGTCGGTTCTCCTTTTGCCTCTACGTTAGTATCTCTAAATGTACATATATTATCATCTTCCACGCAGTTTGGATCGTTTCCCCAACTAACTACACTGGTTCTACCGCTGGGCTGTCCGACGCCTGCTGCACTACCAATGTACAGGAATGTCCCCACAAGTGCGGTATGCAAGTCCCCATTGTTACATGGTTTTGGCTGGTGTTACCTGTTCGCATAGGTATGAACTCCGGGGACTTGGATTTTATCCTAAGGCTAGTCGAGAGAAAGACTAAGGATTTTCCCCTCGATCACGCGGTCGAATTGCCACACTACAGACAGGCTATACATGAAAGATGTCGCTCAGGACTAATGGCCATTGACTCCCATTTTCTCCCATTGCAGAGATGAAACACGATCGTTTCAATCCTTGCAGGCAAATCTAAAAGGATAAATTTGCGTTCGGAACGAAAGGTAGAGAGCAGAAAAGATAAAGTAAAATGGAAAGAAAAAGCTAGAGAGAGCGAAAAAGACAAAGAAGTAGGGGGAAAAAGAAGAATCCGCACTAAGCAAGGAAAAGAGCTGATTGGCTATAGCTTATCCTAGCCCTCCAGCCACAACTCTGGCTCCATGTGGTTCCTGCATTAATAGAGCCCTGTTATTTCCAAATCTACGGGGCTGTGCGTTCCCGTGAGGAATGTGGTGTTACATGAGTAATTTAAACCACATACACATATAGATATGATTTATAATATCGAGATTGTGATATTAGTTGGCTTCTGTATCTGATCCAACGTGTGACGTGCGTAGATATTCTTGTATACCCACACAGCCTGTGTATTACGAAAAGGGTTGCGATAAAGAATTTCCAGAAAAATGAAGACGAAATTTCAAACACGTTCTTGATTTACTGGCATTAACTTTATTTGAAGTAGCCATGCAACGTTTTGGTGTGTTGCTCCAGAGATCTCTGTCCTACTGAAGGTACAGTGGCATCAAGTTAACATGTTCCAAGCTAGGCTCAGCCCACATTTCAGAGTCCAAAGCAAATAAGAGATAGCCAGGTCTCTGGTACGCTATAATTTGGAATAGAAAATCTTGTTCATCCTTTACCAATCAGTATTTTAACCGAAAGAGTGAATTTAAATTTAACTTAAAAATGCAATCGCATCAGCAAGGCCATTCTCGTATCGGTGTTTGTCTATAATGGTAATTCCGCTGGCTTTATTTGGTCCAGCATCCCTAGTGGGTACTCAGGTTTGTGTTATGTGACAGGCTGAGAGCTATCGGCTTTGGGTTTCCAGTTTCCCCTTGTCGGTTGATTTCTCTCTATCTTTTTGTCTTGCCCTTTTTCCTTTTCTTTCGCTTTTTTATGGCGAGGGTAAATCTGGTATCCTTTGACTTGTGTCAATCACTGTGTGGTGTTGTCTCATGTGAGACTTCGGTGGCTGTGGCTCTTTATCATCCATGTCTCAGCCCAGCCCGTTGTCCATTTGAGCCACCCCCTTCCCCCCCTTTCTCTTTCTGCTCTTTGATATCAGAGAGAGAGAAAAGAGCCTGAGTGTAGTTGAAACAGGTCATAAACTATACAAAGTTAAGAGAGAAGAAATGAAGCTGAAAGAAAGATGAAAGAAAAAAGAAAAGCCAAAATGAGGGAGTGTTGGCCAATGAAGCCAGGATCGCCCAACTCTCACAGCCACCAGCAGCCAAGCGCCCCACAACCTCGTGGTCGGATGCTTTATCGTAAGCCTTTATTCGTTAATATCGTACGCTCTCTCGCAGTCTTCCGAGACGTGGCAAGCTGCCACCCCATGAATCAGGACAAGCGGTGTGATGGATTATGTCTAGAAGGGGCATCGAAAACGGTCTTCACGCCACCGAAGTATAATGCGAAAGGCCGAGACCCTGTTCTGGTACGGGGAAACCCGGACTGGGTTTCAAGTGGATGGAGAGAAGAATCAAACGAGATGTCGGATGATACAAAGTCAAAACAAAAACAAAAAAAAAAAAAAAAAAAAAAGGAGAAATTAAAATGACGAGACGGAAGGAGCAAATTGTGTGTTCGACGAATGTTCAGTGTGTTGCGTTGTCCAAAAAGACTCTATCAGCTCAGACTCTAGGGATTTTCACGTAGATAGTTGCGAATGTATATTACACTAGACCGAGGACTATTATCAACGTAAGTCGTTGAAAGTATACTGACATAAGTATCTACGTATGTCACACTTTACAAGCGGCTATCATGTTCTAACTTCCACCTTCATGGTTGGGCGACGGATTGCTACTTTTGGTGTAGAGGACCCCGGTCTTTATGGCGAGTATAAAGGTATCTATTTGTGTACAACGTTGTGGGTCCAGGAAGTAAAAGTCCTCGATGGGGATTGTATGCGGTGACTAGGAGATCTATGGGATGTGATTCTTTCATCAATGAGATGGCTTCTCCAGCCAAACACCAGGACAAATGGAGTATAGATGCTAGAAGTCGGTGCTAGGATGGAAAGACCACTTTGAAAGCGGGTGGGACCGAGTCCTAGCCCGATTGTTCTTTCGAGGTCATTTCAATTATAACTCGACTTTCCCGTTCGTTAGATTCTCAGATCATATAAATACCAAAGCAACACGCGGGCTCATGTTTATGAAAAGCAGATTCCGACAAATAACGATCGAACGACGAAGCATTTCCACAATGGCGGAAGACGCAGCTACCGCAGAATTCAACGCACGACAGCCCCTGGCAGGGAAGTCATGGCCCACACTAGATAAATATTTCTCCGAGTGGTCCAGAGCTTTAACTGAAGCCGGAGTTCCCAACGTGCTTTGGGCTGAACCCATGATGAACTGCTATACCATCCCAACCAGTGTTTTCGTAAGTAGAAATTGGTTTACAGCAAAAATGAAAACGGAGTAGCTAACCCGGAGTGACTTTTTTTAGGGCACAGATTTCATTGTACCAGACCACCTGTTATCTCAGGCAAAGGCAGCCCTTCTAGAGCAGGGGTTTACAATTTGCAACAGAGGGGACGACTGCCACCTGAATAGGCAGGATGCTTACACAATAATTCCCGCTGATCACGTCCATTGTCCGTTGGACGCTATTCGAGAAATGACGGGTATGGATGACCCTGACAATACCTCGGTGGTAAAGCTCCACAAGAAGTCCGACTATCTCTGGACCTTTCCAGACATTCCGATAGGGCCTGCGACAGCTGGAGATCGTTATTACATGGCAGCAGACGATCCCCTTTTGCCTCAAGATACGATGGAGAAAATAGGGCGATTCGAGCCGGGATTATTTCCGGTCAAGATTCTTCGCCCGACTAAGTTCTTTGAAGTGCTATATCTACTATACTCCCGAGACTTCGTCGATGATCATCCAGGGAATCAGGACGATCGTTGGACAACAATATGGGGCCATTGGATATGTTACTTGGGAATTTACTTTAGAGACCACGGTCTCATGAGTGAGGAAGAATTGGATCCCGTGTTCGTACCCATGTTCCGAACTTGGATGAGATTAGAAGTCGATTGTATAGGCATAGAAGATGAGAGGCGCGCAGAAAGGGATCTAAGAAGGCGTCTGACCAGTGCAAACGTTCTTCCACCACCACCCAGACCGAATGTACCACCCAGATATAGAGTCAAACGCCCCGATTAGAATCCCAGCATCATCTGCTTGGTTCTTGCTGCTCAAGATTCCTTGTTCATCTGTTGCAGCTTCGGAGAAAGATTTCGAGTGTTCTTCATTTGTCTCTCTTCCCTTGATTCTGGGGGAAATTAGTCATAGGGCGCGTCTGTCATCTAAACAATGGGAGGGTACCTGACATCATTTGTATTTCTTTCTTCGTTTCTCTTTGATGATATTAGTCATTTTCATGTTTTTATTGATTCATCCTGTTGTCTTACTCAGTTAGTTGGGTGTCCCTGTATCTTTTCCTTTTTTCCTTTTTCTTTTTTTTTGGTTAATACTTCATTCGCCGGAAAGCCCCGGCAGGACTTTAGATAATTCCTCAAATAATTCAAATCCCGCGAAACCTTGTTCCTTTTTCGTGTAAATATCGCGAAGGGAAGACATAAAAAGGCAAACAGACACAGAACGGAAGAGAAAGACTGCCTTCCCTTCCAGGCATGATTCTAGAACCTTCTTGCTATTGTACAGGGGTTCACCTTCATGTAAGACACAAGTCTCTGAATAGCAAGGAGTAACTCATGCAATTTACTGGTACCTACTTGGTGTCAGTCCGGGCACCTCACTTTCAAGAAGACATGTCCTCCGCTCAGGAGATAGGGTTGCTTATTGTGTTTTCAATCCTATATAAATACAGGCATAATCCTCTTGCTCTCTCAGAATATCACAGAGTCCCACCCAGTCTTTCTCTTGAATTCCTTTCTCTCTTTTCTCTTTGACCCCAAACCCAATATTCCCTGCACTTTGCGTCCTGAACTATCCGCTATGGACCCTAATAATCACCCACTTCATTATGCACATCTCAAAACAGCAGTGGAAACGCTGATTACGGCAGTCCACAGCTTCCAACAAAAGAACCCCGATAAAGAAATACGGATCGCAATTATTGGCGGACTTGCTGTCCGTCATTATATTGGCGCTACTCGCGAGACCATGGTGAGAAACAACAGACCTTCCGACCCTAGTTTTGTATTCCCCAAATGTCATATCGAGGTACTAATACGTCTGGGCTAGGACGCGGATGTCCTCATTACGGGCGTCGACACAACCGAGTGCATCAAGCGGTCGTTGCAGAGCCAGGTAATCTTTCCCTGTGCTGGGGACGAAATCCAAGTCGCTGTTCGGGGGACCTTTAAGAAGGTCGACTTAATCCCTGAAAGGGTCCTCCGTCCTTTTCCGACTACGCCCACCGAATTTGTACCTACGTCGGCCGTGCCCATCCAAAGTCTAGTTCAACCTGGACACATTCCGTATCTTGACGAAGTCGAACTGCTTCTTACCAAGATCCTGAGTTGCTTGGCCAGATCATGCCCACGAAAACGTCGCGTCGATGCAAGGGATATAGATGATCTCGCCAGGCACTTGACGCCAACTGGGACCATGACGGTGACTTTGACACCCATTCAAACCCAGGTTATGGTTTCTGGCCTCCCTGAGTTCGTACAATACTCCGCGTTCAGTCTGCTGTGGTGGAGGCAGACTTTCAGTCTACCTTAAGGGGTTTCCAATTCATCCACTTCTTCCGGGATGCGTGTATCATCACTGAAGGGACTGAATTTGTACACCTGATCGCTCCATCTTCTCCTTTGGCAGCCTTTTTGTGCCCCTGTATTGTTTTCATATTTTCATGTTTGCTCTTGTCCTGTGTTTTGCTTTCGCGTGTATTCTCTTTCTTCTTTTGGGATATCGTCTATCTTCTCCTTTTTCTCATTACGCGTGTCTCTTCTCTGCCCAGATTGTTTTCCATTCTATAGAACGCGTTGATTTATCAATTTTATTTCTGGCTCATATACGATCCGCTGGCCGGATACCCAGCGCGTAGACTCACTTTGTAGAGGTAGAGCCTCTCCTTCAACAGGCGCTCCGATGTTCATACATGGACGTTTGTTGGCTTCTAAACCAGAAAGCGGCGATGAAGCTCTACTTTCTCTACCATGTCACCATTTGGCCGCTCTGCCTGCAAGCACATTCAGAATTGGCTTCTCGGTCCATGTGTCTCGCTTAATCAGCTTCAAGACGCGTGGAATTCTGTCCAAGGCCCAGGCCCTTGTGCGCATAGCACGAGGAAGATTGCGATACTACTGCCCACCAGCTCTTCGGGACAGGCCAAGACAGTGAGGCGACAAGGCAGCCAGGTGCCAGGGCCAGTTTAGGCGGTGTGCACGGTGGCTGGCCACTAGACCATGTTCGGTAGCTCCCGCCGCCAAGACAGGGTCCGATCCAATGGGATCCTAGACTCGGTAGTTGTCACTCTTGGCGGGTGTTGACGTCTTACATTCCCATCTCACTGCCTTTTATTTCCCCACATGTAGCCTCATCTCTCTAGTTCCAAGGATCGGACTAATAGATTTGTCATGCGGAGTATAAACCGCGGACCATGGTACAGGAGTGCAGCCCCACCCTTCCCCGGGCAATCTGCAACATTAGAGTTTGGAGGAACGTGGCCCTGGCGCTAAGGTACGGGCAAAAGACATGATCGAACATCTATTGGACAGTAGGAAAACGCATAAGACTTGGCAGTGTAACGCTCTCTCACCGCGCCTCTCTTTCGTATTGACAGCAGACTGCTGTCTGGGCAGCAATCTGTGGTAGGTGTCTTACAAATGCCCAGTGTATTGCTGGTGCTCTGCCCAACCACCCGACTGTCGCCCAGGGTGGACGGCACACTACATGTAGTCCGCTGGAAGAATGTAGCAGTTATATGACTGATTCATCATTCCCGACTCTATTTTCCCGAGCTTAACTGGGGCCTCACAACTACCGGGCCCGTGTCATGTAGAACCGCTTTTTGCGCCCCCTGCTATTGAACTACGCCGCTACCTGCGGCCATAGTGAGACCGGTATACGCTTGCATTCAAGAGACGGTGGAGCTGGCCGCAGGGAGTTATATTCCGGTGAGGCAGGTAATAACTTTATTCTTGTCCAGCGAATTAACTGACGACTCATTACGATTGTCTTTGATTCGTCAAAACCAGGCAATCCCGATGTGCTAAGCACGGAGTTGGTCTTGCAGGACGCCTGTGGACCCATGCGACTATTGGCACTTCTCGGGTGATCCCGACGGACGCCCTGTAAACGCAACCAAATATCAATAGCTCTATTTGCCTGAGACAGAAACCCCCCCCGCTCCTCCCCAGGCTTACATGACCTATAGCCGACCAGTGTAGATTGCCGGTATCGCACTCTTCATAATGAAATCAATCCGTACTGAATTTTCTGGGTGACTCTCATTCCTAGAGCAGTCCAACCACAAGCATTGTTTTCCCACGTCAGTAGCTAGTTTGGTAAACGTAATGTCACCAGTCACAGCATGGGTAGTGATGATAGATCGGGGTTTCGGAAGTTCACTTACATTTACGCGCCACGACCTATATTTAGCATCATTGCCCCAGCTCAGGACCCTGAACCCTAGATCTTGGCGGTTTGAGAGGTGGATGGGCTCTCCAATCGTTCAAACGGGAGGAGGCGGAGCATGACGGACGAAAAGCCACCAAAAGTTTAATATAGAACAACACCACTAAGCTGATACCACACGTCACGACACTTCCTACGGAACCGGCAGAAGTTCAATCAGAAACAAAAAATCCCAAAAAGAAAGGATAGAAAACGAAAAAGAAAACAAGACGACGAAAAAAAAAAGAAAAGAAAAGGAACAAGACGGAAAGAAAACCGAGGGAAATGGAGAAATGCACCACATCTGTATCGCGGGCCACTCCTAATTTGGACAAATAGATCTAACGGGTCTTGCAATACGAAACTGCAACAGGGTATTATGCGCTTGTGCCTTTCCAAATGTCGTGATCTATGAAGCTTCAGTGGCATTGCTTCATCTGGTCTGGCCTGCAGTCGGACTGGAAGACTGAAATCAAATGACAACACCAATATAGCCTTTAGGTTGGTGCTTTTGCATGTAGCTTGTAGCGAGATACCAGGAGACGCAACTACATTCACCTCACCTCACAAAGGCTTTCTGGCTGTATGGATTAATATCTACATGAAAGGTCGGCTGTGATCCATGTTCTCCGACGTCTATCTTCCTCGAGGTACCTTCAGGATATTTTGCACAAAGCTTTTATTTTGTAAGATGATACCTAATGCCTCATGAATGATGAACTGATAAATGTTTAGATCTTGGTGTTTAGGCTATCTGTAGGAATTACAAGGTAAGACGCTGTATAATCCTAGCTTTCATGCATATATAAACCGTGAGTTTGGAAAAGGAGGCCTCCTCGTGGAGTAGCCAGTGGCCTTCAAATCCATTATTCTGCCGAGTAAATGTCACAAGGATATAGTTCTGGATGGGGGAGTTATGACCCCTCTGTTGCGGCAGATAGGGCCTCCAAGCTATAAAGAATGTATTCAATGCCCCTTGCCGCCAAAGGTGTATACAGTTCAATCTGGTTGCGGAGATTCGCCTCTTCGGCTGGGTGGAAATTGCTAATCGCCCCATCAATCTGATAATTACAATGTCTAATGAAACAAATTATCACCGAATGTAACCGAAGGAATGTCAACGGAACATCCGAGGTTAGGTCTGTCATACGGTAGGGGGATGGATATCTGTTCTAAAGACCACTATCAAGGTAACCTTCAATAATGGGACCATCCGCTGTAAAGCTAAATAGGGCGCAGGATACTCGCTTGGCATTTCTTTTTAGGCATATAATATCTGTTCAGTCCCATCTGTATCCAGATTCTAAAGGTTCTTGAGATTGACGGTTGGTATTTCATGCTAGTCTGTACGTATTATGAGCCTTTATCCCTCAAGTATGATCTTTCGCTTTGTAGCTATATCTTAAATTCAAAAGGCTGCTGATTGCAGTTTCATACATGCTTTGTATGATCTTTTGAGGTCTATCCGTAAAGAATAGACATCATTTGCTGTTACCCCCTCTTTTCTTCTTTCTGCCTTTCTGTAGCATACACAACACGCTCTTTAGTGGCCCAACGATTGTTAGTAACGTAGGAAGGGCCCCAGAAGGGGGCATATGGGTATAATCCAACTTTCTCCCACCCATCCTTCTCTTTCTTCCTATTTTCCTCCCAACATTAATTTTCTGTCTTTCCGGTAAGATGTACTAGGGCTCTCTGCACTGCCGTTAGAAAAGCTCTTGTGTATCTAGTTATTCAACAACATAAGGCACGTAGCAAGAAAAAGCCCTGCAGACCCGGCAATGGCGGCATTGTTCGATCAGATGTCTCTAATCTGTTATATTAAGCCCCTACTATTGTGCTATTACGTTTGAATCATATCTTGATTGCTATAGTTCTTGTACGTAAAGCCTTGTATTTATCATCGAATGGGAACGAAGTATCTGCCCAGCGGATTCTCCATTGCACTTACCCCAGGGCTTCATTTCCGGTGTCTACAGTGTGGATCCATTTATACAGCTTGATCTCTCTTCTTTCTGCTTCAGTACCAATCACAAAACCTCAATCTTCCTGCATTTCGGAAAATACCACCAAAAAGGGGTCACAAGATTATCAAGTGCCAATCAGCAAAGAAAAGAATCTCGGTAGCAGGGACTAGTGGCTGCAGATTGGTGGAAGGATATCCACAGAAACGGCCCTCGTATATTCCCTGTCGGCCATGACTACTGGACCCATGAAAAAAAAAAGAAAAGAAAAGAAAAAAAAAAACACCAAAACTTTTTCAAGGCCGCCGCAAGGATGGGTTGGCTACGTATGGGTATTGCTAGGAGCAATCCACAGACATTGACAATAAAGTGTCTCGTGCCAGAAATATTTCTCACCCTACGAGGCAAGTGACAGGCTCTAGAATGCACAGAATGACTCTTCCCAGCATTCAAAACCGCGGAGCCTTACTGCGGATATTTTCATCTCAGCTGTTCCTCAATAACCCCATCGTCGCAGCTTGGCGTTCTGAATCCACCATTCAGATCAGGCTTGGACACAGCGATCCCTCGGCGCCAAGAAGGGGGGCGATGGCAATGGCTTCTCTTTTTCAGCCATCGTGGAGGTGGGGCCGTTTTACTCGTGAAATGCCATCTGACTGGATCGCTGGGGTTCTGAATACGAGGCTTCGGGCTGTAGCCCCCATAGATGGGAAATGACTGCATCGAGTACAATGGGGTCACCACACAAGAGCAGTACAAAAAGGGGTCGTCAACACTGTTTCATTCTGACTGTGAAGTATCTGTTTTATCTGTCTTCACTGACTATCGAACACTGAAACAAAGCTTGCTCGTCCTCCTTCCGCATTTAACTCACCATGAAGCTCGCGACTACTCTCCCTCTCACCCTCCTGTCCACAATCTCGCTCCTCCCATCTGCCTCGGCATGGAAGCTCACCTGGCACGATGAGGACGGCAAAGGGTCCGTTGAATCCGGCAAAGGGCCTCACTCATGCATTGAGATCCAGCATGCCCAAGGGGAGAGATACGTGTGGGATAACCAAGGGAACGAGAACATCGGGATCTATTTCTACACTTCATCCGATTGCTCGGGAACGGTGGCCGGTTGGTCGACCGACAAATGGGCGAAGGATGCTTCAAGAGACCTTCTGAGTTTTGAGGTCAAGAGCGAGGGCGCTAAAACGACGGGCACTATGACGACTACGGGATCGCATACTTCTTCTGATGATTCTTCTGCCAGTGCCACTGTTACAACATCGACTGGTCGGGCCTCGAATTCGACGGAGTCTGGGTCTTCTAGTGCAGTAGGATCGAAGACAAACCCTGAAGCGAGTGCGACGGCGTCCAGCTCGGCCGAGTCAAGTAATACGGCATCGGCACCAAGTTCTACTGAGACCGAGCAGTCGGGGTCGAGTACTCCTTCGCCTACTGCGTCTGCGACGGATGGAGCATCGACGGACGAGTCTGCTGCGTCTTCACTTTCGAAGAATTCTGCGGTCCAGCTTATGGCTGGGCTGACGTTTGGTCTGGCAGCATTTGAATGGTTATTTTAGAGCTGCGTTGAAGGAATTGAATTGTGGCTCAGGGGACACGAGACACTGGAAGATCAAAATAAGTTGGCGAGTCGCCATGCTGGCGTCTGTGAGATGATTATGTCGGTTCCTTTTCTTCATTTGGCTTTTATAGTCATGTCTCTTTGCGCTTGGCCAATTTAATCAAACCCCGCGATATTAGTTATGAGTATGGTGAAAGTTTATTCTGCACATGCAACATGGATTCTCACCTCAATCGTTTGGAAAGCATCCCTTTCGTTGATCCTTCAAGCTGCGCCGGTCTCCGCGTGCAATCATCCGATCCCGAGCCCTAATCGCTTCGACATCCCCGTCTTCCCCGGATTTCCATTCGTCCGACGTCGATCTCGTTTACAGCAAGGATCCCCGCACAAAGCTTCCTCTCACATCATGTATCGCACTTCCCTTTTGGAGCGATGTTCAAGTCTGGTTTCTGAAAACGGGGTAATGCTATACCGACAAATCCTATATATTGCTGGGCGTTCGTTTTAATAGTCACCGATTCAGGTTCCCCCCTGGACAAGAAAATAATATAGTCTACGTCTATCGAATATGCCGACCTTTATATAGCTACACAAACCCAACATGAACTTTGCTCCTAGCCAGTGACCAGTCTCTCGTTTTCCAAAATGCGCGCACGATTCCTCTGCACGCTTCTCGCCCCCCTCTCTCTCGCGTTACACACTCTCAATTCCCCCGGTTTCAATGTCGCCATCGACGAAAGAACCGGCGCCGTCCTCTCCATCTCCCACCCCAAAGACAATGCCAGCATGAGCTGGATCAGCGTACCCCGCAACGCACCCTGGCAACCACAAGGAAGCCACTGGGGGCTGGGGTACGCGAGCGTAGGCAGTCTCAAGCGCATGTACTGGAGCGAGCCTACTATCTCAGCCAGTGACAGAACGGTCACGACGACGTACCAAGCAGAGAGCTTGAAGTTGACCGTCACGCGGGAAGTGAAGGACTTTGCATCCTTCGAGGAATGCTACGCGTTCACGAACACAGGTGACGCTCCCCTCAAGCTTAACGGCGGCGGCACCAATTCACTCGCTATTTACGCCCCGTTCAACGACCATTACACCAATACCACGGACGTCCTGGAGCATCGTGCGCATGCTCATATCTGGGCCTCCGGGGGCAGCTCCTCATGGGTAAAGATGACGAGGATGGGGCTGCGCGGACCCCATTTGGGACTCGTCTTGACAGAGGGGAAGCTGGCTGGGTATAGTGTTGAGTCAAGGGATACGGTGACTTCGTCGAATACGAGGGGGGTGTTTCTCTTGCATCCGGATCTGCCGGAGCTGGGGCCTCAGGAGACGAGTAAAGTGTGCTGGTCTATGTTCTGGCATCACGATTGGGAGGACTTCTTCAGGCGGGGGAGTGAGCGGTCAAAGCAGCTTGTGCATGTGGAGGTTTCGCCGCTGACGGCATTCCTCGGCGAGGATGTCAATGTAACCATATCGCAGGGCTCATGGAATGAAGCCTCGCTTGACGGCGTCCGGTTGAGCCCTGCAGGAAATGGCAGCATTTACAAAACTTCTATCCCTGCGAGCAAGCTTGGAGAACGCAAGCTCACTCTCACAACTGGGGATGGGACAGATCAGCATAACTCAACCATCGTCCTGAATACTGTGTCGAGTCTGGAGAAGATCATCCAGAAACGTACCAAGTTTATCGCCAACAACCAACACCTCAGCACCTCATTCCCTGACCCCCACAAGGCCGGGGCATTCGTCGTCTACGACAACCAGATGAACGCCCCAGTGACCTTCGACACGGCATCTGACCGAAACACCGCGCGTGAGAGAATCGGCATGGGCGTGCTCTTTGCCCGCTGGGTGCAGCGAACCAACGACACGCAGCTCCTTGGCTCCCTGCGCATCTACTACAACTACGTTATTAACCACCTCCAAGACTCGTCAGGATACGTCTACAACCGACCCATTGGCTCCGCCACCGAGTCGAAGCGCCTCTACAACTGGCCCTGGGTGATGCAACTGCACCTGAACATGGCCAAGATCGACAACTCCCCGATCACCAGCCAGAACAACTACACTGCGACGCCTCGCCAGCGGCTCCTCGACACAATCGAGAGCTTCTACTCCGAAGGCGGCGTCGATCTGTACGCCATCAACCTGCCCATCTACGAAGGACTCACCTACCTGCGCTCAGCCGCCGACAACAAGACTTACAACCGCGTCCACCACCTCTTCACCACCCATGGGGCTAACATCGCTCGCCTCGGACCAAACTATCCCGCCTTCGAAGTAAACTACGAACAATCGATCATCGCCCCAGCAGCAACCATCCTCCTCGAGCTACACCGCATCACCAATAACACTGCGTGGCTGGACGCTGCGAAACCGCACTTCGAACGACTCGTAGCGTTCGGCGGCCGCCAGCCCGACCACCATCTCTACGACGTCGCGATCCGACACTGGGATGGATACTGGTTCGGGAAGGACAGGATGTGGGGCGATACGTTCCCGCACTACTGGAGCACGTTGACGGCGATCGCGATGCATCATTACGCCAAGGCAATGGGGGAGACGAGCTATGAGAGGCGCGCGGAGGGCATCTTTAGGTCGAATCTGGTGCTGTTCACGGATGAGGGCAGGGGGCATTGTGCGTTTGTATATCCGACGAGTGTGAATGGGAGGAAGGGGCATTATAATGATCCGTACGCGAATGATCAGGATTGGGCGTTGGCGAATTGGTTGCAGGTGTTGGAGGGTTAGGATAGCATTTGCTTTTGTGTACTGATGGTTGGTGGTTGTTGGGATTGCGTGGTTTGGATGTATCGAGCAATTGTGGGATTAGTATGCAACTGTTGCTTCTCTTTTGGATTTGATCTGAACTTAGTTTTGACATTCAGGTATCATTCTGAGTACGAAGCAGTCTGTGATGCACATTATGCACATCTAGTTTGCCATCCGTATCTAAACACGCTCAATGTCCTACAGTTAGGTCTCAGATTGCCGAGGTCGACGCAGGTTCACTTGTCTCCCATCCCGTCTGTCCAAAGCATTCCAAGATTCCACCATTATTAGTGACCGTGGGAGCTATGACATTGGTCAGTATGTTTACAATTACCCTCGCAAAGCAGACACGACAAAAACACATACTCAGATCCAACGTCGACGCGCGGAACTCCCCTTCTGGTTGGGGATCGCAAAGACACCGCAATTCAGGGATACCAGTCATGATCGAACATCCGTCAGAACAGGACGACGTAAGCCCACCACTGCATTTCATCGTTAGCATATGTTGTTGTGGAACCGCGCGAGTGTCTCTGACATCGCGCTTGGAGGTACAGAGGACAGAGTAGATGACGTACTTTGCGCGAGCGTTAATATCGCCCTCATCGTTCGCAACACACCAGTCGAGCTGCAGGGCGGAGTATCCGTTGTAGCTGTCGCTGGAACACTTTGCCTGCAGGACGTAGCCCTTCTCGTCGGTTTTAAGGACGCGATATTGGTCGCAAGAGTCAGCAAAGCTGTCAGCTGCACTGAGGGCAGGGAGAGCTGCCAGGATAGCAGGGATAAGAGTGAGAAGTTGCATTTTGGTGATATGTACAATGTAGTTGGCAAATGAGGTATGAGAACGGAACAAGGAAGAAGGAGGAAAAATGAAAAGTCTCAACTATGGAAAGACACGTGAATTATATGACGTCTACAGTGAAAGCCGCCCCCTGGACTAGTTCCTAGGCTGTATCCTTCTGTATGCTTTCAGCTGCTAGTCTCATTCATAGCCACTGTTAAAGTAGGATCCTAGCGACGATCAGTGGCGGTGGGTCCCCTATATTGGGGGCCGCACAGAGGCTCTGTAGGATGTCCATTCTGATTTGACTATGAGCGATATTGTAGCCTTTGGAGGATTTCCGCGTTGTCCAAGGTTTTTTAACTTTTTTGGTTCTCGATAGTTTGAATGAATAAAATTAGATGTCATTACAGTAGGTTTCTTTCTCCGGTTTTCTTATATATGCTGTCTTCAATAATGTGGGAAACTCCCGGTATCCTAGGTAGGCATACCGGAACGTTCCCGCCAAGATAAAGTTATCCGCAGCGATTTACCAGAGACCTCCTAAATTAAATAAGAACCCCCAGTAAGATCATAAAATATAAAATAAGGTCCTCTGGTATATCTAGACCTTTCCTTTATTATTATTTTAATTATTAGAAATTAAACATTTTATTCAAGATAAATACAGTATCTTACCTCATAATTCCTACAGGTTATAAGCCCGGAGACTTAATTAATTAAGTCCTCCACCCAGACCCCTAGAACCCCCAGAACCCTTATTTAGGGCCCCCAGAACAGATCTTAAAGTAATTAACTATTTTTAAAATAAATAAAATATCTTAATAAAATAATTATAATACCCGGAAAATATACTATATCTTAATTTATATTAGCAGAGAATTACCAGGATTAGATTAAAGATTTTAATATAAAATTATAAATTAAAAATATATTTTACATAGTTAGTAATAAGTTCCCTCGCCCTGAGGCCCCGGTATTAATCTTAGAAAAACTAATATTATTTAATATAATCTAGAAAACTCAGAATAGGCTTCTTAAATAAAAAAATAATAATACTAAAATAATAAATATTATTTTTATTTTATTATTTAAAGCTATCCGCCATAAATTTATCTATTTTTATACCGCTATGGACCTCGTGAAGGCCCTATCTAGAAAATATAAAGTTATATATAATATCTAGTTTTTTGAAGGACTTTAATTAGTAATAATAATAACTTATTTATAATATAAAAATATAAATAAATATATTAAAAAGATATCCTCAGCACTAGATTATTTTAATAAAAGTTTAAAAAAAAGAGTTACCCTTAATAAGTTAGTTTATACTTAGTTTTTTCTCTGTAATTTAGGAAAAATATAGCAGATTTTTTTAATCTTTTATCTTAACTCGCGCTTTAATAAAAATACTATAATTTACACAGAGATGTCTCAGGTCCTAATTTAGGAAAAAATATATATAAAATTTAAGTAAAAATTAGTAAATCTTATTAAGGCTAAAACTGGCAAAAAGCTTAATAAAAACAAGAATAAGAACCAGAAAAATAAAAAAAAAAAAAATCTAAAAATTAAAAGAATAATAATAATTTAAAATTATTCTTAAAATACTCCTATTACAAGAAATCAGGCTATAAAGAAAAGAATTATTAAAAAAAATATTTTAAAAAAGTCCCTTAATAAGTAAAAAATTAATTAAAAAAGCAGAAATAATAAAAAAAAAAAACAGAGTCCTTTAATATTTTATTTAATAATAATATTATTTATATAGCCTTTATATAAGGTTGAATACCTTGGTGCCTTAAGGGTAAGACAGCGTGAAAGCAATTGGCTAGGGATATCAAACATATGGTATATTCTGCTTAAGGTGTTATCGCTGGGATTCAGGGGAACCCCAGTAAGAACATATTTTTATCATATATTTACTAGGCTATAACTAAGCACCTGTTCTGATTAAGCATCCTTAGGAGGGTCCTATATAAATCTTTATAATTATCCCCTCTTTTTAAAGGCCTTAGTCCCTAAGGCATCTTATAAGATTAACTAGTTAATATTATTAAGCTTCGTGAGATTACTCTTCTCGTGAAAGCTACTGCCTTATAAGATTACTATATTATATAGATTTTTTTTATAAATATAGTTATTAATTAATCTTTTTTATCCCGCTGGAATCCTTTACCTGGTAGTTCTTAGATACTAATACTTAATTTATTTTTTTTTATAATCTCGTAAAGAATACTACCTCGTGAGTTATTTTTTTCTAGATTCACGAGTATTAACTGCCTCGCGAATCTCTAATATAGTATAATATAAATAGTCCTTACAAAGATATACTCTGCCTGGGATACCCTGTTTATAAAATCTATTATAGTTAGTTTTGTAATTCTTCGCGAATATATCTTATATATACCACAGACTTATCTTATAAGATTACTCCTCTGCCTAGGATACCCTGTTTATAAAATCTATTATAGTTAGTTTCCTAATTTTCTCGCGAAGCTGGCCCTTTTATTATAAAGACTTAACTAGTATAATCACCCTAATTTATTTATAAGCTCAGTATCTATCTAGGATATCTTATTTATAAAATCTATTATAATCAGCTTAATCTACCCTTAGTAAATCTTGCGAAGTATCTCCGTGAAACACCTGTAAAAACCTTTTACTGCTAAAAAAACTCTCTTTAAAAAAAAACAGTTATAAAAAAAAATTATTTTAATTTTTTTTATAGCCTATATAGCATCAGCAGCTTACAAACCTATTAAACCTAGATCTATTATTATAAAATCTATTATATTTTACTATAGCTGCTTTTATTATCTGTCAGATGGGGTAGGTGGGTCACGTGGGTTGAATAGAAATTTCAAATGGCTTGATAGAATAAAGGAAATCGATCAGTCAGATGAAGTAAACAGTTCACCTGGACCACCTAGATCTGAAATAGATAGACCAGAGGTCCTACCATTCGCTATGCATGTAGATAGGTGAAATTGATTAATAAATGAATGAATCAATAAGTAAATTAAATAGATAAAATTAACTTGTCAAATTAAAACGGTAAAATCAACTTGTTGAAAAGAATGAATCAATACAGGTCATTAACTACATATTTATAGACAATTAAATCAGGGCTAATTTAATCTAGCCCTAAGCAAATATTACAAATATAAAATCATCAGATCCTTCTAGGCCTTTAGCTATGAGTCTTGTTATTAATCTAGGCCTTCAAGGTCAACCTCATAGATCATCATTAGATCAATATTTAATCATTTAAATGATTAAATAATCAAGATTTCATGATCAGAACAATCGAGATTTAACATATAAATCATAATAAAATCATTTAAATAATATCAGAATGACCAAGGTAGCAATATTCATTTTATAGCTTATAAAATAAATAGGCGAGACATTCTGGACCCTTTATATTAATTATCTGAACAAAGCCATTGACTGCAGCAGTTAAAACAAACTTTTAATTTCCTAAAAAGGAAATTTATCGAATTATGTTTTCTGACTTCTATAGGATTCTAGCGATCAGTGATTTCCTAATTAAGAAGATAAGCTAGTCCAAAATAAGAAATTCTTCAGAAATTTTTCTTTTTCATTTTCCGCTCACATTGAGCTCAGTTTCACCTCACTTTTCCCATATAATTTGGTGGTGGAAGTGAGAGTTCGATAAAGTGAGAGTAAATTCATAGTGAATTTTGAATAATTTCGGTTGTGGGGCGAAATCAGGTGATTCTGATGAATCAGGTGATGTCAGGTGACCCCAATTGACATTATCTAATCCCGTGAGGCTTTTTCTAAATTAAATATTATTATATCACGCCTTTTGTATTTATTATTAAACCCCTAATTCTATATTATAAAAAAATTTTTTTTATAGTTTTTTTTTCTTTTTTTTTTCTTTTTTTTAGTAACCACTGTTTTCAGTAAATTAATCTTTAGAAATTAAGTATATTTTATAAGATATAGTATATAAGATCTATTTTATTTTAATCCTACCTTATTTTCTGTACTGTAGGAATTTATTTCTTATTTTATTTTTTATATTATAAGATTTTACTCTTATCTTATTTTCTGTATTATGAGACTTTTTATTTCAGATCAGATTATTAATTTCTGGATTTATTTGCGGGCTTCCCGCGTGTAATAAATTATAATATTATATTTACTACTAAGGTTTCTTAAAAATATTAGTATTATTATTATGCCCCCCCCCTATTTTTTAAAAGAATATTTTTTTTCTGAAAGACTTTTTTTTTATAGGTTATTATTCTCTCCCTCCTGTCTTAAAAATAAGTCTAGGGAGCCCCAGTTTCCGCACTAGTATTTATAATCTTTTGTAAATAATATACATCAGCTAGGTTAGTTTTTAATTTAACTATATAAGTAATTTATAGGGCCTTTTTAGTTATATCTTTTATATTAGCTAGTCCCTCCGGCGTAATAATCTTTATCTTGTGTATATTATACTAGCTATAAATAAATATATCCTTTATTATAACCCCCTGATAGCTACTTACCGCCTGTTATTTTATTAAGTTATTTTTAATCTGAATTAGCCAGTCCAGCTAACTAATCTAATTAGACTATTTATAATCTGATTTTCTTACTAACTTTATATAACTAGACCCGCGCCTCTCTAAGGCTTAATCAGTAGAAAAACTTAAAATAGAGCCCCGGCGCCACTAGTAGATTATATTATATAAAATATAGCCTGTATAGTTAAACTACCTGTGCAGGGATTATATCCCCTGCAAGTATTTATTTTTATTCTTAGTTTTCTTCCCTAGTCAGGCCCGGAGAATCTAACTACCTGTAAATAATAGTAAGTTTAATAGCTGGTATAAAAACTCCTCTTATACTAGGGAGAAACTTCACTTACCCGGCTTATTTTACATACCTAATACTGTAAAAGTTATTTTATAACTTATACTAGGGCGTAGTCTCCTATTAAATATAATTACAGATAATATAGTTTTTCCCGGAATATTATATCTTAAGGTTTTTATATT